ATGCGAGTGTCTTTCTGTGTCCTCCTGTCCTGATAAGGACTAGCCAGTAGAGTTAGAGTTCTTCATTCCGATCCAGTATGACCTCATCTTCACTTAATTACATCTATAAAGGCCTTGGTCCCAAATAAGTTCACTTTGTGATGTTCTGGGTGGACATGAATTTGGGGAGGGACATTATCTTACGGGGCTTCGCAGAGGAGTCGGGTAGGAGGGGTGGGGGGGGCCGCCTTTCGGGAGCCTTCGAGCCTCACAATCAGCCCTGGGCCATGAAAAGAGCTCTGAACGAGAATCTGAAAAGCTCGCATGCAGTAAGAACATGTGACTGCTCCCTTTGCTTCTCTGCATCTCACCTCTGGGTGCCATCTGCCCATGGGGATGCTGGCCCACCCCGCAGGATCAGTATGAAAATCAAAATGCTGGCCTGGAAACCTCTTTGCAGATCATCTAAGGAGCCCTAGTGGCTCAGTGGTTAAGCATTCAAACTGCTAACAGTGAAGTTGGTGGTTCAAATCTGCGGGAGAAAGATGTGACCGTCTATGTCCGTAAATATTTCTCCCTCTTGGGCAGTTCTGGAGCCCAAGGAATGCCACTGGTAAGCATTGGATTGCTAACAACAAGGTTGGTAGTTCAAACCCACCAGCTGCTACACTGAAGAAATATGAGACTTTCTCCTCCCATAAAGAAACTGTGTATAGGGTCCTATGTATTCCTGGGGAACCCTATCTAGGGTTCTTTTGAGTCAAAATCAACTAAATTGCAATAGTTTGATTGGTTGGGTTTTGTTTCTTTATTTTTGGTCTGAATCATGTGTGAGTTTCGGAAGAGGTCAACATCACCTTGCTCATTACTGCTCGTCACCCTGACCACCCCCTTTCTCCTTGCTAGGACCACTGCTTTTACCACGGGACAGTGAGGAAGGCGGAAGCATCCAGTGTCACGCTCAGCTCCTGCCGAGGGATTAGGTAAGAGTGCGCGGAAGGGTGCCTGACCCTGTCCCCCAGAAACGTCTAGGACAAGTAGGATCGGCTGTGGGCATGAGCCTTGGGAAGGATGCCGCAGCTAATGCGTGCACACCAGCTCTGGGAAAGGCTGGGGCTGGGAGGAACCAGGGAGAGATAACCCACACATTCACAGGGACTGAACTTTCAGTTTATTGAGGAACTTGAGCTTGATGAGCTTGACCTTTCTCATGTCCCGTTCTCTCTTCTGTGGTCGACTCCCAGTCCCTGAAGTCCGAGAAACAGGAGAGGCAGACTATCCATTACCCAAACCGAAGTTCAACGAGATGGCTTTTGGGGTGACTGTTCATTCTTTCTCACTGCCATCAAGTCGATTCTGACCCATGTTGCTGTAGTGGTTACTCATTGGGCTGCTACCCACAAGGCCAGTAGTTCAAAACTACCGGCCTCTCCATAGGAGAAAGATGAGGCTTTCTACTCGTGTGAAGAGTTACAGCTGCAGAAGCCCACAGGAGCAGTTCTGCTCGGCCCTGGAGGGCCACTATAGGTCACGGCTGGCTCAATGGCAGTGAATCTTATGTGCTTCTTGATCCCGGCTACTTTGAGGGTTGACTTTGCAGGTTACCAGTTAGGTGACTATCCCCTCTCCCCCATCCTCAAATGTGGATTACAAATAGGGAAGGAGCCTGGTGGTGCAGTGGTGAAGTGCTCAGCTGCTGTTCTGTGAGAGAAAGATGAGGCAGGCTGCTTCTGTACAGGTTTACAGCCTGGGAAATACTAGGGGGCAGGTCCACACTGCCCCGATGGCAGCTCTGCATTGGCATGGACTCCGTGGCAGTGGAGGGGTGTGAGGATCGCGTGTGTTGATAGACACAGTGCCTTCAGAACTGTGCTGGCACAGGGCCAGCCTCCAGACTCTTGCTTCTCTAGGTTTGGTCTGCACCTGGGCAGCATTGACATCCCCTGGGGGCTTGTTTGGGATGAAGAATCTCAGGGTCCTTCCCAGACCCACTGCATCTGAATCTGCAGGTTACCAAGCCGCCAGATGGTTCCAGGTGCATGTACAAGTTCATATTTGAGAATATAGATGTTCCTTGAGAACATAAGTAACATCTCAAATATGTGTTTCTTTCCCCCACTGCCTTGCATATATAGGATCTTGAATTGCATGCCGAAGTAGTAAACATTCTTTATTGATACCCCTGCCAATTCCTCCTCCATGTTTTTTAAACCTGTTGTTGTCAAGTCAATTCTTGACAATTTATCACAACCCTCCGTGTGTCCCAGAGGAGAACTGTGCTCCACAGAACTATCAGCAGCTGATTTTTAGAAGTAGATTATGGGGCCTACCTTCCAAAGCACCTCTAGGTGGACCTGAGCCACCAACCTTTCAGTGAGCAGCCAAGCTGTTGACTGTTTGACCACCCAGAATGTTATCCAGTGCTCTGGAAAAGCTGGCTCTCTGGGAACAATCAAACAAACTTGGTTTGTAATATCTACCAATATGCTGGTAGAAATATTCCTACCATGACCAATTTTCAGTAACCACTGGGACACAGTGCTTGGTAAAGTGGAGGGGTAGCAAAAGAGGGGCAGATCCTCGACAAGAGGGATTGACACTGTATCTGCAACAGTGGGCTCACACAGAGGAACAGTTGTGAGTGTGGTGCAGGCCTGGGTGGGGCTTCGTTCTGTTGTTCATAAGGTCCCCAGGAGTCAGAACCAACTTGACACCTAGCAGCATCTAGTAGCAATAATGTGACATCGCTCAAGGTGAGGTTGTGAAGTGAACGCACAATTGGTGCTATGAAGCGACTCTATACCCTTCTCTGTATCAGTGGACTGACTCGTTCGGTAATTTCATTCACTCAGCAAAAAAACACGATGAGTCTCCTGTATATAAAGAAGCTCTGTGGGTTTGGCGTTGGACTGCTAACCACAGTGTTGGCAGTTCAAAACCACTAGCTGCTTTGAGAGAGAAAGATGAGGTTGGCTACACTCACCAATATGCAGTGTGGTAATCCTATCAGCTACATTGAGTTGGAATTAAATTGCTGGAAGCGTTTTGTTTTTTGTTTTTTTAAGTGTAGACCCATTCCTTTCTAAGGTGGAGGAAAGACACATTGAGAAGCTACCGAACCCTCAGCTTTCAGCTTTCCTGTCTGTGAAATGGGTACCCATAATAGGGATGGTAGAGATGATTGCTTCCATGTTGTGTGAACGTGACCGTGCTCTGCAAACATAAGGGATTGGGAACAATGGACAACAGCGAATCCCTGCCTTGGAAGGCACTTACCCAGGCTCCAGTGGGAGGGCTTGTAATGTGGCAGGCCCCATGTGTCTGTTTACAAATTGGGCCACATCTCTTTGTAAAGTTTCTGTGGTGAGTGGACCGGGGGGAATTAGGCAGGAAGTAGGCTTTGGCGGGAAGTGATAACAGAGTGATCCCAAATCCCTTGCTCAGATGACCTGATTGAGCCAAGTCAACTGCTCTTCCAGTGGCATTTGCAGGCCCAGCCACCACCACCTGCAGTCTGCGAATGCCCGTACATTCCAAAGAGAAGGAATGGGGACACACAGGTGTGACCTGCTTCTCTCTGCCTCTCCCCTGTCCCCTTGCTCTGGGGCAATGTGGACTTGGCTCAGCCTCTTGTAAATCACTCCAGCAGCTGGGCTGACCAGGGAGCCGGCCATCTGTTTCTGTTTTGCATGCTTCGCTCTGGGGACGGGGGTGGGTCCCCGGCTTACCTTCCTAACCTTCTCACTGCACACCTTAAAAAACCGAGGATGTCTGCTGGCCGGGCTGATTTAGGAGCTGAAGATGCTTGCCAGATGGCTCTGTTCCAACCCTGGAGAAGGAGCAGCTGCGGCAGCAGCCGTCTTGAAACCCACATACCCCCAAGTTGCCTCCCAAGCCTCGTAAATCGATGCTGCAATGGAAAATCTCCATAGCAATTGTTCTCCTCGCCGAGAGTATGTTCGATGTGATTGGAGGAAACAGATACACTATATACCAAGTGGGACCTTCAGGCTAATGATACCAACACAGAGGAATGCAGCTTACGTTTTTCGACGGTTTCCGGGCTCCCTCTTCTCTCAGTTATTTGGGCTAGTTTCACAGGATGCTGTGCATGCACGTAGGACACATACATTCACATAGGACAGCAGTGTACAAGGAAGACCCACTCTCTTTCTCATCTCACATTCCCCCTGCCCCACAGGCAAGCACTGTTACCGGTTTCTTATGTATGTTTCTGGAAACATTCTTTGCAGAAAGAGAGAGAGAAAGAGAACATAATTATCCCACACAGTGGTCTTCATTCTTTTTCAGGCCACAAACTCCTTTGAAAATTAGGTAGAAACTAGGAAGACTAATCGGTACTGTGGTATGCCATTTCATTGAGGATGTCAGGTGTCTAGATCCTCTGTCTGCCACCCCCACCTGCCTGAGCTTACCTACATTAAAGACTTCTTCCTCTGAATGATTATGCAATTTCTTAGGTGCACAAATAATTGTAAACTAACACGGGGTCATTGTGAACCAGAATCGACTCACCCATGACTAACAACAACACACTGTACAGATGTAAGGTGCAAGTTTTTGGTGGCGTCATCTCGACAGAACTGGGCTGCAGTGTCCTTGATTAAACCTGGGGATTCTGAGAAACTCTGTGTGTGTGTGTGTGTGTGTGTGTGTGTGTGTGTCTATTAGTACGAAGGCTGTTGTGCTAAAAGTCACTGCTGTAAACTTCATCAGTATCTTTTTTTATTTTTAGAGAAAATATTTATTTGAAAAATATTGTGACATCATGATATTTTTCACATGACATACTGAATGCAGGTTTGTGATTGAACAGGCAACTCGTGTTGGTACAAAATTAAAAAGTGATAGTTCTTTATCCTGTCCTCATCCTTCCAACCAGACCTTCTCCCCATCTAGACTCCTTCTTGTGTGTGTGTGTGACTTTTTTTTTCAAATGAAATTAACTTCTACGTGCTGTTCTGTAACCATTTTCTCACTTAACATCATGTCTTAGATGCACATTTAATGGCTTCATGGTCTATCTTACGGATGAGCATCTGGCAAGCTTGATTCTATAGAAAGTCTTTCAAAGCCATATAGTAAATCATGCATGATGATATATTTGATAGATCACCTTGGTAGTTTAGCGACTCTGTCCTTGAGAAACACAAGTTGGCACCCACTGTGGTCAATCCCTGGACTCAGATTCTGTGAGGAAAAAAGGGAGACTATGCAAGTGAGACAAAGCAGGAGAGAAAGAGAGCAGGCATGGTGGCCTGGGATGAGTTGGCAACGTAGAGTTGGAGGACTTGAATTTGAGAGTCTGCTCCACACCTCCTGGCTGTGTGATCTCAAAGTTGTCCTCTCCTCAGCCAGGGTGTCCCTTGTCTTTGCCTTGCCAGGCAGTGCCTCCCATGGGCTGTAGCAGCCCTGCTGGTGATGCTCAGAGATAAGGGGGCTGCTGAGCCCTGGGGTGGAGCCAGGGCTGGAGTCGGGGTCCCATCCTGGAATGACAAGCCTGGATGGACATTAGGGGACCTAGGACCTGCTCCCGGCTCTGGATGGCCAGTTCTTTCAGTACATTCCTTTCCTTCTGCAGATACTAAATGCTACCTGTGTGTCAGGCATTGTGTGGATTAAGCCTCAGGAGGAAAGTATGAACAGTTAAAATTGAGATTCTAAAGTCAGACAAAACCTGACAGTTTACCTCCCCTGACCCAGTTTTTTCACTTGTAAAATAGGAACACCAATATTAGCATCACTGGTGGATTTCAAAGGAATTCTGGTGGGGCTTTGGGTTAGGTATTGGGCTGTTAGCCTTGAGGTCAGTGGTTCAAACCCAAGAGAAAAATGAGACTGTCTGCTCCCAGGAACACTTACAGTTTGGGGACCCCTTTAGAGGTCCGCTGTGTGTTGGGCTCAACTTGATGGTCATGGGCTGGCTTGGATTGCTTTGGGTGGATTTAAAGTAGGTGATGAGGGAGACTGTTGGAGCAGGGTCTTGACTTGGATCACACGGTATCCCCAGTTATTGGCACACAGTAGGTTCTCAATAAATCCTTGTTAAATAGCTACTGAATGTAAACCTTTGCACTGCACTTGAAGTATAAAACACAACCAATAGCGTTGTTGTTGTTGTTGTTATGTGCTGTGAGGTTGAGTTTTGAGCTGCCCCGTGGGGTTTTCTAGGCTGTAAGATTCCTGAGAGCAGATGGCTGGGGTTTCTCCCATGGAGCTACTGATGGGGTTTGAACCACCACCCTTTTCGTTAGCAGTGGCTTGTTGAATGCTCCTGCAGCAGGTCATATGGCCCCTACTGTTATTTTACAGTGTCCCTCTGATTCTTAGTAAGCATGAGCTATGGCTGTTCTTGTTTCGTTTGCCCTGATGCAGCCAGTGATCCCAGTGCTCATAGAAACTCTCTGGGGGGTGGGCAGCATGAGCCGTGCTTCACGCAGGAGACAAGTACGTTCACTTGCCACACTGCTGGGAAGCAGCAGAACCACTGTCTGCATCCACATGTGGAACTTCATAGTGGGAGCCTGTGTTTTACCGCGGTACCCCGGGGCACCAGGGGCATGCCCCGCCCACCGCCCCGCGCGTCCCCCTCCCCCGCCGCCGCATTGCAGTGCCTGTGTGCCTCTTTTCTGTCAAGTGTACTGGCACCTTCTTTTATGTGGCTGCGGGGGAGGGAAGGAGTGTAAGTAGACAATTGCCTCCCAGAGCAGCTCTGAGGTAGGGATCCTGTACGACGTTTCCAGAGTTCAGCCCGGAATTGGCAGATTTCCAAGAAGCCGTTCTTGCTTGTTTCCTTGGAGGCCAAGGCCACCGGGTGAGTCCTTCGTCATTCAGCAGTTAACCAGGCATCACCTGCTACTGGTCTGGCCTGCCACCTTGCTTCTGTACAATTCCACTTGGATGACGCTCTTAATGATGAGCAATAGGCATGTACAATCCCAGGTTCCTGCCTGTACCTTGCTAATGCTTGGCAAATTAGATCTGCTGAGGCTCTGAGAAGGAGAAATGATGGCGGGTGCTCAGTGGAGGAGAGAAATGGGTGGGTGGTGGTGATGGCGGTGGGAATCTAAAATTCCACTACCATCCAAGCTGGGGTTCATGGTCAAGTGCTGGGGCTTTCACTCTCAAGCAGGGTGTGAGGATCACAGTTGGTCCAGGGAGGAAATTACAAGGGACCCTGGGAAGAGGAGTGGTTGGGTGGATACAAAATTCTAGAAGGTCTTCAGTGTCCCGCACCTGTGTCCGTCAAATTGTAATCTACCAACTCCCTGACATTTGCAGGAACGTATGAAGAGGCAGGAGGCCTGGTTACCCAGGGAGTTAAATGTTGGAATGCTAACGGGAAAAGCCAGCAGTTCAAATCCACCACTGCTTCAATGGGAAAACGATGAGGCCATCTGCTTCCATAGAGATTTTCTGTCTCGGAAATGATGGAGCAGTTCTGCTCTGTCTTATAAGATCGATTTGAGTTGGAATTGTTTTCATGACAGTTGTTTCAAGAGGCAGGGCTGCTGCCAACCTCAGGCTCTAAGTCCCTGCCCCTGGTCGTGGCTCTGTGGGGTGGCGCTTGTTAATAATGTAGAACCCAGGTGTCCTGAGTGGGGCCTGGGGATGTGTGTTGTTAATGAATTCTGTAGCGTATTCTAGTAGGTTAGCTATCTCTGGGAGCTGGGATCTTAGAGGTGCCTGACCCACAGGTTTAGGACTGACTCTATTGGTTTTCTCTGGCTGTCATATGATACCACAAATTGAGTGGGTTAGCAGCAAAATTTTATTTTCACACAGTTCTGAAGGTCAGGAATTGGCAACCAGGGCGTCAGCCATGTTGAGCCCTTCCTCTGCCTCCTGGTCTCTCTCTGTGTGTCCACTGATGGGGCCGATAGCACAAGATGTATCAAGGTGGCGCCCAGAATCTTGGCCCTTAAATCTTTGGCCCCAGATTACCTGTGAGATCTTGTTAGTAAGAAGGTTGGGTGGTGTGACGTTTTTGATCAGCTACTAAATGAAAGGTTAATAGTTTGAACCCATCCAGTAACTGTGGCAAAGCAAGGCCTGGAAAATTATTCCCATAAAGTTCACAGCCAAGAGAGCCCTATGGAGTCATTCTCCAATGGAACCCGGATGCCACCTCGAGTCAGGGACCAATGTGAGGGCAGAGCGAACAACAATGTGCTTTTCACTATTCGCTGTGCTACAAACTCAGGCCTCGTCTTTGTCCTATTTGACCCAAGAGGTTGTTTAAGTGAACCCCAATCACTACACCTTTTGGCACTAAACTGGAACTCTCATCGACGTCGCTCCGCAACTTTCCGCTTGCTGGGTGTTTTCTCTAGAACCTCAGCTGGAGCACCCAGCTGCTTGGTGGTCAAGCCCTGTTTCCAGCTTCACTAGCCATCAGGGGAAACTGGCGTGATGGGAGGAGACTCAGTCAGCTGAGAGGAGAAGAAAGCGTGGAACAGGATTCTCACCTCTCTGCTCCTTTCTGGCTGAACTAGGGAGTGGCTGTGACCCATGGCTTTTGTCCCGCTCCTACCCGCAGCTGCACAGGTGCCGCTTGGGCATCTGCATGGGGCTGGACAGGGACTGCTGCGTCAGCCAGGGCGAGGCAACGGGAAGTCGGCAGGTTCCTGGCATCCAAATGAGATTAGCCAGGGAAAGACTGCTGTGGCTGAGAGCTGGTGCTGTCTTTCCTGAGAGCCATGCAGGCCAGTCCCATAGAGCAGAGCCTGGGTGCAGGGGTCCCCAGGGGCTGGAGTCAGGGTGGAAGCTAAACCAAGCCAACCTCATCAGCAAGGGCCTGGCATTGAGAGGGACAAAGACTGGAGTAGAGATGCTTTCGCTTATGAACTTCCTAGGTGGGGACCCGCTGAAGTGGTGGTGCCCACAGAATGCTGCTAGGATGTATTCTCCCTCAGAGCCTCGGGTCCATTTTCTCGTTGTAGCATTCATCGTATAGTGGACCCAAGAGGGCAGATACCTGCTCCAGGGACCTCGGCTCACCCTGCCATCCATTATTTATGATAGTGATAAATAATAAACTATTACGCACTTCCTGCCAAGCCCAGAGAAGTCGTCAGAATCTTTGTCGCCAACCCATCAGAGTGGTGCAATCCTGCTGCTGGAAGCAGGCCTGGTGATCTGCTTCCTTACAGGCGAAAGGGCGCACCCCCACTAAGACATTCTACTCTGTAATGTGCATGCGTTAGAATCAACTTGATGGCAAGCTTTCTTTCATTGTGTTGGTGAGCAGTATGATGATTTATTCCCATGTTTGGATTCTAAGCAACCTGGGAGCAAGTCACTTGACCATCTGAAGCAGGAGCCCACCCTTAACACTAGCACAAGACCTGGCCAGCAGCAGGGGTTCAGTGAATGTTTGTGGAATGAATGGCTGCCCTGGCCTGGCTGTTAATTCCCTGAGGGCAATAATTGCATCTAACACAGAGTCAGGGTTCAGCGAGTGAATGAATAAAATGAATGATGACAACCACCTTGTTTCTGAGCCCTGCACTGGGATCTTAACCAGGGGGACATGCAGTCGCGCATGCCTGGTTGTGGATGGCACTTCACCCAAGTGCTGCCTGATTGTCTTGGTGAAGTTGGGTCTGGCAGAAAAGCATCAGACTAGCGCTGACTTTTGGGCCCAAGGTTGTAGAATGAATCATTCCAATGGTCCTGTTAAATTAGCAACTTTTCATTTCGCTTTGGCAGATGAGGACACTGAGGCAGGGGATTTAAGAGGTTTCTTGAAGAACACGTGAGAGTTTTGTGCTGGAGCTAAGACAATAACCTAGGTCTGATTGCCCCCCGGACAGTCACTGTTCGTTCTCGGTTGCTGTGCTGCCTGTCGAGTCTGAGTCTAAGTTTTAACCTGAGATTTTGTCAGAGGCCAGCCATGCTTGGGTCTGGGAAGCTTTTTGTCACACGGACCCAACCAAACTGTACACGTATGAGCTGTTCCGGTGCAACCTGTGTGGAGTCTTTGAGTTTCTCTAGTCCAGAGGTCCCTGTACCGGAGTCCAGGGAGGAGCTTACCAAAAATACTAAACCACTTTCCCATGGTGTCTGAGTAGAACTATGCTCCATGGGGGGTTTACTGGCCGGTTTTTTCCAAGGGACCTGTGCGTGGACTCCAATGCCAGCCTTTTGGTTAGCAAGTGTGTTCCCCGTTCCCACCATCCGGGATGTCTGTGATCATCTTTGCTGTTGTGTGCTGGCAAGTGGGAGTTAGACTCAAGGACAGAGCAGAACTGCCCCATAGAGGCCTGTTCTTGCTGGAAGAGGACATCCTGCTTGGAAAAGGTCAGGGAAAAATAGGGAGACCTCCAATGAGATGGAGGGACACCGCAGTTGCAACATTGAGCTCCGATATAGCAACCATAGGGAGGATGGCACAGGGCCGGGCAGTGTTTGCTTCTGTTGTGCACGGAGTGGCTCTGAGTCAGTGCTGCATGCTTGCCTGTTTTTCAGAGGATCACTGAGGCAGAAACCATTTAACAGCACCTAGCGATTACAGCAGCCTTTGGGGGAACAGCCTACCAGGTCGTTCTCCTGCAGATCTGCTGAGTGGGTTTGAACTGCCAGCCAGCTGAGCACTTCACGGTGGCCTACCAGGCTCCTTTAACGTGAAGCACCAATCATTGAAGCCTATGGTGTCATTTTGCATATGGGGGGACTAAGATCCATGGAAGGGCTTTTTCCTGGACCATCATCTCTGACCAAAGATCTTCTGCTTCCCGTCAACAGAGGACTGATTACAGTGAACAGAAACCTCAGCTACATCATTGAGCCCCTCCCTGACAGCGAGGAGTGGCACCTTATTTACAGATCCGAACATCTCAAGCTGCCCTCAGGGAACTGTGGTTTCCAGCACTCCATGCCCACTGCCAGAGACTGGATCCTTCCGTTTACAAACCAGACCAAGAAGCAACCACCACGCAGGGTGAGTTTCAGGGCGCTCAGTGCAAGCGTCAACCTTGGAAGAGGCTTGTCCCCTCCAAGGACTCTTACTTTGGAGCCGAGAGATTTCACAAATGAAAGAACATGGTTAAGAAGGAAGTAATTCTTTCCTCTTCCTCTAAATCAGTGGTTCTCAACATTCCTAATGCCACTACCCTTTCCTACAGTTCCTCATGTTGTGATGACCCCTGTAACCATAAAATTCTTTTCTTTTTTTTTAAATAATCATTTTATTAGGGGCTCATACAACTCATCACAATCTGTACATACGTCATCTGTGTCCAGCACTTTAGTACATATGTTGACTTCATCATTTTTACGACACCCACTTTCCACTTGAGCCCCTGATGTCAGCTCATTCATAAAATTATTTTCATTGCTACTTCGTGACTGTAATTTTGCCACTGTTATGAATTGGGTGAACCCTGTGAAAGGGTCATTTGACACCCAAAGGGGTCATGACCCACAGGTTGAGAACCACTGCTCTAAATGATTATTGCATGTGAGATTCACTAGTTAATATAATACATGTATTTTTGGAAACACTACCACATGGAAAGGGTGCGGAAGTGCTGATTTCAGAAAGATGAAGCTGTAAAGATGTGGATATGCTGCTTCTTTTACAGTAGCCACTTAGCCACATGCACCAACATGGTGCATTTGTTGTTACTGAAAAGAGACATATGCGGTTTAAATCGTCTTTGGGAACTTGATTGTCAGAATGCTCCCTCAAATTATGATGGCCTTTGGTTGGCTGGAATGAGCCAGCCGTGGGCTTGTTGTGTTTTGAGAACAAAGGTGTGGATCCAGCGGTAGTAATCCAGATGCCCTCCGTAGGTCAGGAGAGGGTCAGTGGTGACAGCAGCCAGGGCTGTCCTTTCGCAACCATGTGCAAAGTGAGAAAGCAAGTCCATTGCTCACTCACGAGGGCCTGGGTTGTGGAATTGGGCTACGTTCACCATTTCTACTGCTCTGATCTCTGACATTTTTCCCTTAGATGAAAAGGGAAGATTTACACTCCACCAAGTATGTGGAACTTTACCTGGTGGCGGATTTTGCAGAGGTAAGGGGGATGAATGGGCTTCAGCAGAAAGCGTGCTCTCTTGTTAGCTTCCATTACAGGCTTTCAACTACTTTCAACAAAAATGACTTGGTACGCATCCTTCTCGGGCTCATCCTCTAATTTTGACCTGATATCTGATCCAGGACTCTTTCTGCCATTTTGAACATAGGGGGTGGGTGGAGGGGCGGGTTGGAGTGCAGTTATCTGGATTAATATGTCTCATACTGGATTTGAAGACCTTTAGGTTTCAGGGATTCTTGTTAGGGGGCGGTTGGGGGTGTCTATGAATTCTCTACAGAAATTTCCACATGTTGTGTTTTCATGGCAAAGACTATTGAATCTGAATTCAATTTTCTTGCCCACATGTGGGTCCGTGTTTATAATCATGTCGGTGCCCAATGAGGAGCTAACGCAGTAGTTTCTCAAAATGGGCCCCAAACGGAAGTCAGCATCAGAATCTGGAAACTTGGGGAAAATGCAAACCCTGACTCCTACTCTCCAGGAGAGGGGTCCAACAAGCAGTGCTTGCATGAGTCCTCTGGGTGATTGCCATGCAAGGTCAAGTTTGAGAACTCTCAGCCTACGGGACTAGCATTGTAACCTTGAATTCTATATTCCTCCAATTAGACAGCCCTTGAGGGGCCTTGCATGCTCAGATTTTGTGAAGTCACCTCATCACTCATTTCTTCACTTCACTTATTCACCAGCGGTTTCTTGGTTTTCTCTTTTGCCTCAAGCATGGAGATAGAGCTCTGACTCAGACAGAGGAGGCCCTGACATCGTAGAGTTTACAGTAACTGCAAGAAACCATAGTTCCCAGTGTGATGACTGCTCAGGTGGCAAAGTACAGCATGGTGATGGTGCATGTCATGAGCGGGGTGGGGGGACACTAAGGTTTGGGGCACCAGAGGGAGAGAGACTGAGGCAGAGGTGTTTAAGCTGACATAAAGATTGGATTCAGCCCCAAACGCCCAGCCCTGGAATCCCCACATTTTACCTCCAATTCTCACTGTGTGCAGCCCCTTGGCTAAGCTCATCTTCTGCCACTGTGGTGGCATGGTGAGCTGAGTCCTCTTGGGGTTCTAAGCTGGTGCCTGCTTGCCCAGGGCTCCCTTTAGGAAGCATCCCATCACCAGCCAGGCTTGTCTTGTATCCATCCAAATAAGGTCCCAATAGACTCGAGTATAAGCCGACCCAAATACCAGCTGAGCACCTAATTTTACCACAAAAACTGCATCAAAAATGTGCTGAAAAACTCAGCGTATACACGAGCATATTTGGTAGTTACCAGCTACCTTCCCCCACCAAAAAACCCAAAAAACCAAAAACAAACCCAACCCACTGCCATCCAGTCAGTTATTACTCTTAGCAACTCTCTGCGGGGTGTAAAGACTGTCAATCTTTCTCCTGAAGTGGGTTTGGACTGCCTGCCTTGTGATTGGCAGCACAGTGCCTAACCGACAATGCCACCAGGGATCTCATTCTAAGGGGCCCTGTTTTATCTGGAAAGAGCACTGTTGGGTAAGGGTTCCACTGTTAACCAAAGGGTTGACTGCTGGAACTTTCCCAGTGCCTCTGCAGGAGAAAAGAGCTAGTGGTTTGCTTCCTTGGAGACCGCAGCCTAGACCCTGTTGGGAGACAGTTCCTCTCTGTCACACGGCATTGCTATGACTCAGCAATCGTCTTGCGGGCACCCAACTACATCAACCCAGTCTGGAAGCGCAAGGCCCCAATCCTGGGTAGCAAGCAGTGCCGGTGCTCAGGTCAGAGGCCTGCCTTGCACCCTGGCGGCAGGAGGAAATAGCTCTGAGCTGGCTTCCAGGACAAGGAGCAATAAGTGGGCACCGAAGTGGAGGTGAAGGGCATTCCGGAAGAGAAGAGTTTAGCATTTCAATTGATGTTGGGATTGGTTTTTCCAGCAACCGTGTGCTCCCCTCTCCCCGTCCTCTTTCTTTTGTTTGTTTTTTGTTTTCCCCTCTCCAAAGACTGCTGGGTGGAAAGCATGGGGGAGTGGTGCAGAGAGCAAAACCCTCTCTTGCAAGCAAAGGCTCCCCAGCTTTGGGAAAAGGTCCCCCCGGCCGTGCGTCCAGCGTGTGGCCCTGTGTGACATGACCGCCTCTGTGGGAAGGTGGCAGGACAAAGGCTGAGCCCCTCTGGCTCCAAGACACTTTGCAGTTTCCGCTTTGTATGAAAGGTGAGCTTCCACAGCCGCTTATTTCCAGCCCCCGAAGCCCGTATTCAGAAGAAAGCTCCTGTGAGCCCCACTTGGTCAGCAGAGAGCCCTACAGCTGCTCGAGTGAGGTGGGGCTCTCCATCCCTTTGGCCCAGTGGGATCTTGGAGCAGGGTTTAAAGCCCACGGGGGGGGGTGTGTGTCCCCAGTAGCTGGAGAAGCGAGGGCGGCCTGAGATTCAGCGTTTGATCTCTTGACCTCCAGGGTCATGGCAACCCACCATGAAGAACGGTGTCGGGGCAAGGTGTTTCCAGCCCTGTGCTGTCACCGACAGCCCAGTGATTCCTGACCTCCCCTGGCTGGTGCAGAGCCCAGCGCTTGGAGCTCTTGCTGCCCAGGCATTTCCACCGGGTCCCACCAGGCACAGTCATACAGCCCCAGTGGACCCCCCCAGATGGGCTTGCTTACCAGGCTCTGGCACTCCTTTGCCAAAGGCAGTGAGTGATTCATTTGAGGGGTCCTACGAGGCCAGTGTGAGCTCTGGGGCTCATGGAAGTCTCCACACAACCTCTCCCACACGCCCTCCATGTCTGCTGGCAAGGTTAATCTCTGAGGAGGGGGGTGCCTGGAAGGGAGGCTTATCTGTGATTTACAGCCTGGTGCTGAGGCAGGCCAGGCTGGTCCTGGGCTCTGCCCTCAGAGCAGGGAGTAGAACAGAGAGGGGAAGGAGGCCCGGAGAGAGTTGTCCGGCCGAGGTGAGAAAGGACTGCGCCTCCCGTGGGAGCTTCTGAGGGGCTCCCATCCTAGGGTCCCATCCCGACACCGGGCATCTACTGAGGAAAGCGAGCATGTGGAGATGACACTGGATACGTTAGTCTCTCTCGTGGGTTCCAGAAATACCTAGGTGAGAGCTCGCGTATGAGAAATGCCTCAGTCCAAGGCTTCACATGAGAAAGAATCCACGCCAAAGCCTGGTTTGTAATCCAAGTGAGTTTTATAAAGCTTAGACGCGGCACAAATGTGGCCTGCAGCCCAGCTGTGCTGCACTGTGTTTCAGCTGCGGGGAGAGAGCCCCCTCGAGAGAAAACTTCTGGCTTTTCAGGGGCCCATTGGCAGGCGTGGTTGACACTACTGCTGAATTAAGCCCACCTGGCCCAGATGGGGTCCCACCCAGGTTTACCAGCTTCCTGTGTCCAAGTCCTGAATGCGGGCAAGCCCTCCAGCCTTAAACAGCTTTCAGCTTCCAGTCATGGGGGAGGGAGGCTTTGGCATGTAGAGGGACAACCCCTAGTTCTGCCTCTAGCTACCTCACAGCTAGCTGTACAGACAGCACGTAGAAGACTTTCATAGCACCCCAGAATGGAGGGACTCGGAGCCTCATCTTTCTACTCCCATACGTCAGGCCAGTTTGACAAATAGTGACTACTAGCTAGGTCCAGCCTACATTCTGTTTTCATAAATAAAGTTTTATTAGAACAAGCCATGTCTGTTGGTTTGTGTGTTGCCCAGGGCAAGGTCTCTAACATACTCACTGTAGGCCTTTTACAGAAAAGGTGCTGACTCCCCCTGTAGGTGATCCTGGACAAACAAGACAGCGTGTCCCTTAAACGGTGGCGGGCATTACTGGACATTGTTGAAAGATAAGGCTCATATACGAGGGAGCTTCATGAAGTTCATGGGGGAATTTCCATTCATTTAGTTCCCTCGTTCTACGAACTTTTTGATGCCTTTTCCTATTTTGAAGATGTGGGCCTGTTGCCTTGGTATTCCAATATTTCCTATGTGAATGGGAATGCTGGGCACTTTCTGTGATGGGAGGTCGATTTAGAAATGGGATGGGCCTATGATGAGACACTTCAGAGTTAACCCCTTGGGAGGACTGAGGTCACCGGGCTCTGCATTTAGTTTAACTCTGTAGAAAGCAAGAGTGAAGGTGAGATTCTTTTCAAACTTGGGATGATGTTTCGCGGAAGCCTAGGAAAATCCCAAAAGAGGGAGAGAATGGGGAAACTGTGGCTAGCTTCCCAGTCAGGGCTGGGACACAGCCCATCTAAACAAATATCCCAGGGTGTTTTAGTTGGCTGTCCTTGTTGTATCTGGCCTGGATATTCTTGTAGGATGGGGTGCAGGAAGGAAGTGTGAAGGGTTCTGATTGAAGTGGCCTGTGTAGTATGGAGGCAACCTAAGTGGGTTCACAGATTCCCTATAAACCATGGTCATCATTGCACATTTAAATGTCAGTTGTAACATATGTTACCTTTCCACTGTGATACTAATTACTTCATCATTGTACAGGGAAGAGATGGCAGTCTTCTGAGGCTGCATTGACCAGAGTGAGACATTCAAACTGAAATGACCTTTCACTGTTACAATTCCAGTAGACCTCCTAATCAAGCTTCGCATTTCTTCCTGCTGAGTCTCACAAATCTCACCGCAGAAGCACAAGCGGGCACGGCCAGTCGATCTACGTGCCATGCTACGATGAAGCCTCCCTGCCATTCTCACCAAGATCTTTGCTGGCACCCGTTGTGTCATTCCCACGCTGCCGTTGTGGTTATTTCTGTGCGGGTTTTCTCAACAGGGTTTCCTAGCCCGTTTGAAATTGCATACTCTTTAATTACAGGATCTATCCATTGTTGTTTCTGGTCCTCTCTCTGTTTTTATTGAAGTTCAAGATCTCTCAAAATTTGTTATCCTACCTAGTGCCAAGCACAATGCTTTGCACATAGCAGGGGGTCAGCGACTCTAACCGGTATTGATTGTCCTGCACAATGAGATCTATATGTGACTTCATGTTGGGGTGATGACCAAGACAAAGTGGGTCCCTCTTCTAAGCCCCGAAGGAGTTTGTGAGAGACTTACACATTAGAAGATAAGAGAACAAGATTTACTTCAAGGGGAGGAGAAAGATATTTCAATTCATGCACAATTAATGTATGAGTCCTGGTGGTATAGTGGCTAAGGGTTGAGTTGCCAGACACAAGATCAGCAGTTCAAAACCACCAGCTGCTCCGGAAGAGAAAGATGAAGCTTTCTACTCCTGTAAAGGGTTACCATTTCAGAAATCCACAGGGAGTCGTTCTGTTCTGTCAGAGAGGGTCACTAGGAGTTGGTGTTGGCTTGAGTGCAGCGAGTTCCCACCATAAGGTTTACTGTGTGCTCTACTGGGTTAGGAGCTGGGAATCCTGAGATGTAAGAGACCCAGGCTCTGCCCTTCCAGAGCTGAAACTGTTGCCTGGAATCGTTGTATAAAATGTCTGATTTTAGAAGATAAAAGAAATGAATTATTCAAAGATGGGGCACAGGAAAGGTTGGTGGGAGAGGATCTGGGATCTCACCGGACTTTGCTTGTTCCCTTCAGTTTCAGAAGAACCGACTAGACCAGGAAGCCACCAAACACAAACTCATAGAGATCGCCAATTATGTTGATAAGGTAAGACCAGGTCTGTACTTGTGGGAGAGATGCCAGCCCCTCAGAGGGGCTACAGGACAGGAGATGGCATGACCCCTGAGCTACCCTTGCCAGACTAACCTCCGCGGCCAGTTTCCAGATGAGAATGAGGGATGACTCGGAGGTAGACTCTGGAAGAGCCTTGACAATGCTCTGGACTGTGCTGCTTTGAGGCACGGACCTCATCTTCTTTGGGTGGCAAAGTTTTTGTTGGCTTTGTTTGGTAACCGGTGAGATTAAGCAGTTGGCCTTAACCAATCGCTTTCTATATTTTTTTGTGATGGACTCCTTTTTCAAGATGAAATCGTATGCTAGTGTCTGATAGAGAGATGAGACCCCAGAGGGCTGGTCTTCAGATTCCTTCCCCTTACCCCCTGAAGGAGCTAGGACATAATGGAGCCCATTTAAAAAAATCATGACTTTCAGAATTCTTTACAGTCCCTTCTAGGGTTAAAGTTCAAGAATTCTGGGATTCCTGGGGGCATTGAGGTAGCTCTGGGGGTGGGGGTGGGGGGCGGAGAAGGGGGTAGGTCAGCATGCTTGGTAAAGTATCGGGTCAGTGAACAAGAGGAAGACCGTCAACATGATGGATGAAAACAATGGCTGCAGCATGGGTTCAAACGCACGGCCCGTCGAGTGGGTGGCACAGGACTGGCACCCTGTTTCAGACTGTTGCACCCAGGGTCAGAACGGACCCAACAGCACCTAACAGAACCAGCGGGATGAAAGAGGTCTGCCGCCATCAGGTGAGAAGTGGTTGTTTGAGGCCAGCCTGTGTGGTCTCCATCTGTGAAACAGCTCCGAAATGATTTCCTCCCTCTTAGGGAGCTGGACGGTTAACATTTTTCATCCAGGCTCTCGTCCAACATGCTCTTAGGAAACAGCCAAGTACTTCAATTTCACTAGGGCAGCCTAGTTTAGGACTCGGAGATACTTGGTGTTTATCGTAGCACAGAATGCAGAAAAACAGGTAGCCTAGAATGAAAATAATCTCTTGACATTAGCAGGGTATAGTTTAAAATAGTGGGTTTTCACATTCATGGGATTGTAAGTGTCTCTGAGGATTTGATAAAATTACCGTGCACTTTCAGAGCATTTCTAGAACTCCCTATGTCTGGGCCTGCTAGGGAGATGCCTGGATTCCAAGTCTGAAGGGGAAGTCGTGATTTTCTAGAGACGAAATGAATGGGTCTGAAGATTCTTGGGTGAAATCTCTGAGCCAATTGTTGGGAGACTCGGTGCTTTAGCTGGTTCTGGAAACGCAGCTCGGTGTCAAGTGACAGTCAGACACTGGCATTTCCAAGAAGGAAAGACTCTTGGGACACAGTCCCTTGGGGACCTTATTCTTGCTTCTCTGTCTAGCTCTCAACTCATTCAACAGCAGCATTTGAGTGGCACTATAACCCAAACACACTCAGCATCTGGGAAAATGGAAAGCTTGTTTCCCTGGTGACTGTCCAGGGGATAAGTCCTGCTGCCGGCCAAATGATATCTATTGTTCTGGAGACCCAGCAGGTGGGAGACTTGGCCTGGTCTCCCCTTTGTGAACTTTCCAGCTGGTCTGGGTGACAGACTCAAGGATGCTGATGAAACATGGAGGGAGAAGAGAGGCATCCTTGCACGGAGCCCCCTGCCTTGCTGGGAAGCAGTCTTGGTTTTCTCTCCGGCTGCTAGTTTCTCCCCTTTAAAAGAAAGGAATTGGGAGAAAGATGAGGTTTTCTCTTCCCGTAAAGCGCTCCAGTCTCGGAAACCCACAGGGGCAGTGCTGCCTTGCTTGTCGGGTTGCTAGGAGTCAGAATGAACTTGACAGCAGTGAGTTTGCCTGGGGGCTGTGGAGAGGGCCGGAAACACCCTCTTTCTCTGAGAGTTGTGATCCAGCAACTTGAGCGGACGTATTATTGAACCCAAACTGAATGAACTACACTAATTTCATGACTCAATCCAAAACGTTTTTCCTTAACTGTGGAGAAGCCACAAAGTTTTCTAGTGAAGCAAGTTCAAGTTGGGATCTGAACCCTGTTTTCAATAATGATTGACCTGAAGTGAAACAGGAACCCAACAATCGCCTTTGCCATGAACTGGTTTTCTGCCTCCCTAAGTCTGGGACCCACTTAGACTATAACTTCTCAGAGCAGGTTGATTTGGGCTGTGTGTTTCAATACCTCCACCCTTAAACTGTGTAGGGTCATGAGCGGGCTTTGAGGGCTATAATCTGGAACTTTATCTTGGCTCCACTAACTTCGTGCTGAGACTTTGGGCACCTTACTGTGCTTATCGCCCTGGAAGTGCTTGATAAACATTGGTGTTGTGCTTATTCTTCTTAGCTGGCAGCAGGTGTCAGTTTTGGATTAAAATAGTAGTATCTCACTCACGTGAGATACTCACGTGACCTGTTGCCATGGTAGGCGTCAAAGGATCCCTTGTGGCTATACCTTCCTGTTCGATGGCTTAGCTTTAAAGAGAACCCTGTTCGTGTTTATCAGCATATGAGATGAAAGGACCCCTATCATAAGGCTTGGCTATAGCTCTAGTCTTAACGAGTCAGGCAGTTAGATCTCACATACAGCATGTCAGCACCTCTGGGCTGGAAAGAACCCAGATGATTGTCCAGGACCTTTGTCACTCTGATGCTTGAAACTTGCTTCTGGTATTCTTGGCCAAACCTGAATACCTCTAATGGTGGGGAAGGAAAGTTTTGAGAGGAGCGTGTCCTCTCACTTGTATATGTCTACCCATTACTCCCGAAATGAATGGGAGACTCTTGGCAATAAGACATTCGCATGCATTTGGGTATACTGGGCCAATGAATACTCGTCAGCAACTTAACAATGTCTCTTCAGTGACAGTGGTTACACTTGCCACGGTATGGCAGTTTCCCCAGTGTTTCTGTTCTGGTGGGTCTCTTTCCATTATTCTAGCCTCCCTGCATTTTCTGCCCTTTTCATTTTTGCTTTAGGGTTGACTGGTCTCCCAGAGATGCTTTTATTCTTTTCAAGGACTACGGTACTCATAGGTGATACTGTATTTTATGAGCTAGTCTGTTATTGACCTGAAAGATGATCGCTGGGAGTTGAGTCAGTTCAAACTTTAGAGGGTCTCTCAGAGTGATAGTCTCCAAGTTCCTCTCGCCTCTCCTGGTCCGCTAAGTCTCTGGGTTGTTGGTTTTTTTTAATTGTATAAGAATTCGAGCTTTGCTCTACAATGATCTCCCATTCCATCTGGGGCCACCTATTGTGTTCCTGACTAGAATGGTCAGTAGTGGGCTCTCCTCTTCTTTTACAAGGACAAGTAGTGGATCAGGACCTGCTCTACTCCAGAAGTATCATGTGACCTTAACTGGTAACATCTTCAAAGACCCCATTTCCCAATGAGATCACAGTCACAGATGCCAGGGCTTAAGGCACAGGTCTGTCTGTAACACTCCAAGGGCCTGGAAGTTCATGGAAAAGAGAAATCTCGATCTGTGCCCCAAGCTTAGCAGGAGGCTCAGGAATTCCAGGTGGTGCTGACAGATCATGTGGCTTTTCTTTCTTTCAGTTCTACCGTTCCTTCAACATCCGGATTGCCCTCGTAGGCTTGGAAGTATGGACTCATGGAAACATGTGTGAAGTTTCCGGGAATCCATATTCCACCCTCTGGTCATTTCTGAGCTGGAGACGCAAGCTGCTCACCCAGAAGAAACATGACAACGCCCAGTTAATCACGTAAGTAGCCCTCACCGGAGGCGTTGTGGTGGTGGGGACTGGTGCACAGCTAATGCGCTAACCTCTGTCTGCAGTACAGGTGCTCAGCATTTGCCTTCCTCATTCCCTGGGGATAAGGATTGGTGCCTGACCATCTGATGTTCTGTTCCAAACATTCCAGTGTTTGTCATACCTGTACTCTGTGCCCAGTCTTTTAAAACCTAAGAGATAACAAGCCCAAGAAGTGTTCACAACCTAGATGAGCAGATTAGCCTGCGATGTGTTCAGAGGATCTGAAACCATTGAGTACATGTTTTGAAATGGGCTGCTTTGATACAGACTTTGAGAGAGACTGGTCTTGATTTTCGTGGCTCTCTGGTCTAGAACACGAGCAGCATCCCAACACAAGCCCAGGAAAGAGGCCTCCTTGTGCCGTCCAGGAACTCAGGGCTGAGTGTCTTAGAGCGTTCCAGTAGGAGATTGTGCCAGAGCTCTATGTTGGCTGTGAGGAAGACACCAGGAAGGGGTTGTGTTGGATGTTCGTCTGGCGGGGGTTAGTGGAGAGAACAGCCCTTGATAGGGGCCCTAGGGGGACATGAAGGTTTCCTGAGGGCGATCACTTGCTATTTATTAGTGTTGACCTCCACGGGTATTTTGAAAGAGTTAAACAAAAGGCACATATGATGTAAAATCATGTTCCTTCTGTTCCTCAAATATATCGCCAAGTATTCACAGTTTGCCTTTGTTTACCATTGAAGAGGAGCGGAGGAAAGTAGCTACCAGAAATCTGGACGATGTGCCATTACCTCATGTGGTACATGAACCTAGGAAGGGTCTTGGGGTACTAACACATTTGACATGAGCTCCCAGAAGTACATGGCACCCTGTTTTGGGCAAGGCCTTGAATCTAAGTTTACAGTGGTAATGCAAAATAGGTTCATAAAAGAGCCAGTAGGGCTTCATGTAGATTTGCATGTAGGTTGCAAATGCCTTTGCAGAGTGGTTTTCTAAAGGGCAGTTGCCTTGAATTCAAGAGACATTTATTAATCATCCATTGTTTCTCATTGTATGCTAGTCTCAGTCCCCTCAAAGCATACAGATTCGACTCTCAAAGATTCCTAGATAAGGCGACAAACATGAAAATACAAGAATATCACATAATGAATGTCCGCATAGATCCTTAAATTAAATCTTGTATTTGTGGCAGCCATGAAAACACCAGTATTTTAATTATCCCGTCTTCCCGACCCTGGCCACTTACAGCAGAGAGAGGGATGTTTTCAGTAAGTGGGGTGGGAGAGGATGTTTGTTGGCTGTTGGCAGATTAGGGTTGCAATTGCAAAACAGAAGCAGAAATATCTCATTCTTGCCCACAGCTGCACTTTGTGAGGTTTCTGATGGGGCACATCTGTTTTCTTGGGTCCTGCATCATGTGGGGATGAGGCATCTCACACACACACACACACACACACAGGGACACTGGCATGGAACTTGGCAGCTGCTGGAAGTGATCATGATTCACGTCAGTATGTGAGCTGTGTGCCCCCCACCAGTTCCTCTATCTGACCTTTTCCTGTTTCACAGGAATAGGAGGCAGGTTTGCTGGCCCTGCCCTTTTCCTTCCAGGCATAGAGGCTATGGGAACACTCTTTCCCTCTCCCTTTCTGCTTCTCTGGGAGAGTGTGGAAGGAGGTGAGAGGTGTGGTGATCTGGATGTTGTCAAGGTGACCTGGGTGGCAGGGTCTCCCTATGTGGGAAGGTTCTGGAAGGCCTATAGGACTGAGGAGCACCATGATGCCCACTTGCTCTGAGGCACAAAGAATAGCCCTGTCAGCCTCCAGCCCGGTCACTCCCTCTCTTCTCCCCTCCTTCCGCAGGGGCGTGCCCTTCCACGGCACCACCATCGGGCTGGCCCCGCTCCTGGCCATGTGCTCTGTGTACCAGTCAGGAGGCGTCAACATGGTGAGTCTCAGCCAGCATGCTGCTCCGGCCTAGGTGATAAAATGCCCTCACAAGGCAGGTCATCTTGCACAAAGCAGTCAACACTTAGTCATTCAGGGGGTAAAAATCTTGGACACAAAGCCAGGCAGTTTCTTCAAATGAAACCATTAGAGTCTAAGAGCTGCCATTTCCCAGGGGAGAATTTTCATTCATTACAGTTTATTCTCGATTTTCAAACTCAGAGAAGCACCCTGAAGCCATAAGATGAAGATGTCAATAAATCTCTCCTATGTACCAAACCAGAGGCTGGGGAATCGTAGGGTAATAGAGATAAAAGTGTTTTTGTTTCAAATATTAAAGTCTTGCTTAGGAATTACAGTGAACCCTCGTTTATCGCGGTTAATCGGTTCTAGACCCTACCGTGATAAATGAAATTCCGCGAAGTAGGATTCCTTATTTGTAAATCAAATATTTTCGTAGTTAGAACATAGAGGACATGAAAAAACACCCTTTAGTCACCATTACACTCGTATTACCCAGTTTATTAAACAAAAAAGGGAAAATACAGTAAAACATTTTGGACGTTACAATTATCATTTATTATTTATTATATTATTTATGGCATCAAGCGTGTACAGTATGAGCCAATCAGTGGCAGTAATGACAGAGCATGCGCTGTTACGCAAAAACCGCGATACAGTGAAGCCGCGGAAGTCGAAGCGCGAAGTGGCGAGGGTTCACTGTACTGTCTTCTTCTGAAATTTCTTCTGACTTGAGGGGATGCTTTGAGTCTTCATTTCTGGCCTATAAGTCACTCTCAAGGTGGCCTGGTTTCCATCTGTTGGTCCATCCCTCCACCTAGCTAGTGTTTACTATCAAATGAGCATTTAGTGACAAATGTAGCTTAGGAGATGCAAGCACAGATTCACGAGTCAGAATCCATTGGATTCCTATAGCAAATATGATTTGGGGGCAACTGAACGCATTTCCTCCATTGTAAAATAGAAACAGGAATTTAATAATTTATCATTTTAGGTTTAGAATGAGAATTATAATGTAAGAAACACATCAAGGTGTTTAATAAATCTATTCTTGCTCCTTCTATTCTGTGCTGTTCTGTTCTACCTTTTTCCTCCTCCAATTTTTTCCCTTTTGTTTGTTTGTTTTTGTGTGTGGGGGGGGCAGGGTTTAAGCACTAGGCACCGTGCGAGGCGCTATGCTTGGCCTGTATCTTCCATCACAGGCTCTCTGAGAAAGCCCTGGGCCAGAAGCATTGGCTGTTGGCTGTTTGGCTTGGGTAGCATTTCCAGGGTCTGTTCTATTTTATCCTGAAGAGATCTATGTTAAGAAGAAGAGAGGGGTAATCACGCTCCATCATGCATTCAGAAAGTAGCCATCGATAGATGTGGCCTCCAGCCTTCAGGAACTCGGGGCTTTGGCTTCCTAATTAACACTCTGGTGGATTGGATCCTTCTGCGGACAGCTTGTGTGGAATGCCTCCTTGCTGGTCCTCCCAGGGAGGCTGTGGCGAGCAGCAGAGCTTGGCTAAGGAACCAGCCAGGAGGTGGATGGTGGGGTTACTCCTTTGACATGCACTTTCTCTCTGAGCAGGATCACTCTGAGAATGCCATTGGAGTGGCTGCCACCGTGGCCCACGAGATGGGCCACAACTTTGGCATGAGCCACGACACTGCGGAGTGCTGCTCAACCAGTGCAGCTGACGGTGGGTGCATCATGGCTGCTGCCACCGGGTGAGTCAAGCAGAAGCTGCCGGGAGGATGGGGCTGGGCAGGCGGGCGGGTGGGAGAAATTAACCAGTGTGACTCAGGGTTCCTCCCAGCTGGCCTCGGGGAGTCGCTCGTACTCTTTCGGTGGGGCCTTTGGAGTGAAATGTGGTTTTTCCAATAAAGAAATTGGATGAGGACCGACGGGCCGCTGAAACCCTAAGATATATTTTATTTCAGTCTAAAAACATTTGGCTGTAAAATTAGCTTGAATGCATGTAAAATTAGCTTATTTTCTTATAGTCTTTCATAAATATTTAATAAGGACCCTTAAAAATTTTCTTAAAGAAAAAATATTGATTAAAAAAGCATGTACCTATCCACTCAGCATTTTCTACATGTATGGTTTAATGAGCATGAGCACCTTCTTTGCACTGTCTCACCCTTCTAACTCTCCCATATTTCACCACCCTTCACTTCGACGTTCTGCCCCCTAGATAGATGCCTCCTGGGTTTCGGAGTCACCGTTGCCCATTTGATCTCAGATGCCCTCATAGGGGGCAGGGTTGACAGCCCCTTTGATGACTTGCTGGCCAGATTCCTAACGCATTCCGAATCCTGTCAAAGAGCACTGTGCTCCCACGAGCAAACATTCTTAGCTAGTTGAGATAAACGGTTGTTTAGGTCACAGATGACTTCAAAGCTGAAGGATTAGCTCTGGGTTGCCTCAGTCTCAATGGCTCCAGTAAGTCCAGTTTCTGGTAGAAGCTCTGGTCCACTGCTTTCCTCCTTTTTAAAAAAATCAAGATCCATCTACTGGACCAGATGAGGAATCCTTTTGATAACAGCCACCACCTTTGATGTCTCCACTCCAAGGGTGCATGTGCTTGATGCTGATGGAGCCCAGTCTTGGTGGGAAGCCTGATATGGCTTCCAGAACAAAGAGAAGGGGGGAGGGCACCCTTACACCCCCACGCTGCCTTCATCCTGAGGGAGGAGGACAAGGCGGATCCATCTCTTCTATGGCCATGAGGAATTTTTAAAAACCAGAATATTGAAAGGCAAATTCTGGCCTTTGTTCTAAAACTTATATCCTCATACAGAGTGCTCAGTTCTTCAGGAGTTGGGGGGAGGTTTCCCAGGGGTTGTGTATGTTCTCCCGACCCCAAACCCTTCTTAACTCACTGTCATTGAGTCAGGTCTGACCCACGGCCACCTTATAGGACAGGGTAGACCCATCCCAGTGAGCTTCCACTGTTTGGGGGAGTAGAAAGCCCCATCTGTCTCCCGTGGAGTAGCTGGTGGTTTCAAACGACTGACCTATCGGATCGCAGCCCAGCTCCTAACCACTACACCACCAGGGCTATTTAGAGCCTGCTTTTGGTTTTTAGAGAATGCATTTCCCTAAGAGGGAAGTGCAGCTTTATTGGAAACCCAGTGGTTTTCCATCCCTTCTTGTCCGGGACACACCAAGAATGATGTTCTCCACGCATGCTCCATGGGCCATTTCTGTACCAACTCATGGTTAATCTGAGCTTCTGGTGACTCCGAGCTCACCCCTTTTGCTCCCAATCCCCAAATATATCTGAAGACAAACAATGAAGTGTTCTCTTATTTACAATTTCAATTGGTTTCTAATGTAACTAATTTAACAATTATTTGTACCAAGTTACATTTTATGTGACGGCTAAAACACATTTAAAAAAAAGAGAGGGGGCGGGGAGTTCTCCAGTGTTTAACCTTTAAACCTTTAAAGGAAGCTTTAAAGACTTGGGATCCTTTTGTAGACCAACTGAACCCTGCTGGTGCAGTGGGTTAAACATGGGAGTGCTCATCCAAAGGTCAGTGGTTCATGCCTACCAGCTGCTCCTTGGGAGAAGGATGAGGCTGTCTGCTCTTGGTCAGTGTCAGAAACACTTTGAAAAGTCCTAGGGTCACTGTGAGTAGCAATGGACAGTGGTGGACCTGTAACCAAAATGGCGGTACTACCCTGGGATCAAGGGGAGGCATGGCTCTGGGGGTTGGTTCTGTTTTAAACCAGTAAGGGGGCCCTGGACCCTTCACCCTCTTTTGTGAGAGGGAGTGCACGTTTGTGAGCTCTCTGGCTCAGTCTGAAGTGCCTTCTACATCTTCAGAACAGAGGCCAGGTCACCGGCCCCTGACTTTGGCCTTTTGTCTTGGTGCTGTCTCCTAAGAAACAGCCACCTAATAGCACCTTCAGGAAAGATTCAAGCTGATGTGAGAATGAGCATTTTATTCATTAGTTCTGAGCCTTAAGAGACCTTTTGAAATACACTTGTAATACTTTTGTTATTGCAGTTTTCTCATACAAAGAGCAGAATTGGCCACTTTTAATCCTCAAGTATCTCCCCCATGCAGAGTGAGGGGGCGGGAAGCATCTAGGCTGGTTAATAATAGTTTCTCCTTAAGGATGAAGGGTTCCAAGCTAGCGTGTCGGTGATGGTTACAATGGGGTGCAATGTCGGGCGTGGACTGTGGGGCTGCAGTCCAGGAGCAACCATCGCCTTCCCAGGGAGCAGGATTGATAGTGATCCAGAATGCCAACGAATGAATTCCAAACCTTGTTCCCTTCCAGGCACCCCTTTCCCAGGGTGTTCAATTGGTGCAACAGGAAGGAGTTGGAAAGGTATCTGCAGTCAGGTGGTGGGATGTGTCTGTCCAACATGCCGGACACCAGGACGCTGTATGGAGGTCGGAGGTGTGGAAATGGCTACCTGGAAGAAGGGGAAGAATGCGACTGTGGGGAGGAGGAGGTAAGGCGGCATGGTGGGGTAGTGGGAGGGGAAGGGCATTCCTCTCAGAACTCAAGATCGGAGAAAGCAGCAGTTTAGTGGTTCCTTAAAAAGTGAAGCCTAGGACTGCCGTCCGACCCTCAATTCCATCTTCGGTATACTCAGGGCATCTTTAAACAGCCGCATGCACAGCCTTATGTGCATGGCGTTCACTGCAACACGAAGGGTGGGAATAACCTAAGTGCCATCGGTGGATGAGCAAAAGAACACACTGGGATGACTACACATAACGGTGTCCTATCCCGGCACCAAGGGAAATGAAGGCTCACGCATGCGCCAGCATGTAGGAACCCCGAACACCTCCCATTCAATGAAATATGTCCGTCACGAAGGACAGGTGTTATATGATCTCACCTATATGAAATAAGAAGAGCAGACAGTTGCATCGAGGCCAGAGTTTATTAGTGGTCCCCAAGGGTGGGAGAGGGGCAGCCAGGAGTTAAGAAGCAGTGAGTTTCTGGGCATGGTGATGGGGCCTTTGGCAGTGGTTATGAGTGATGGTTATACAACATGATTAATGTGCTTGATATCACTAACCTGTACATTCAGAAAAGGTGGAGTCATAAAACAGTTGAAAAATGCCAAGATAAAAACTTAAAATGGAGAAAATACTAACCGGAGAGGCGGGAGGAGAGAGCGGGCACACACATACGCAAGAGCTCTGGGAAGATTCTTAATCACAGGCATCCCTTCCTTGTGGCTGCCCAAGACTCCCTCACAAGGTGGATGTGGAGGGGCCGCCAGAGGCATGGGCCATTCCCTGTCGGGGCCTGGCACCGTTTGTGTGCACAGCCAGAATGGAGTTCTCTCTGGAGTACCTGGGTCTCACCAGGGATGCCAATCGTGGCAGCATGTTGGCTGCCTCTTCCAAAGTGGAGCTATAGACAGACTCCTGGCCCCCGTCCCCCCTGCCCCGACTGCCCTGGCTTATTCTGGTGACCACAAAGCTGGATGGAGGGACTTAACCCTGGGCCCAAAATAACGAGCCTGGGCTTTGAAGTCTGGAGAAGAGATGATCGAAAGAGGCTGTCGGAAATGCTGTCACATCTGGGAAGGACTCCTATGCGGAAGAAGGAGTAGAATTGTTCCTGTCTAAGCACTTTCCTTCTGATCCTCCCGGCAATGATAAACAGTAGCTCGGGACAGTCATTTTGAGTAGAGGCATATTTTTTGAAGAAAGCAGAACTGCTTAGTTTCATTACTCGGTTTTGAAAGACGAGAACATATATTTTAATATGTGGATAGCAATTTGAGGAAGAATACAAAAGTATTACTTAACTAGGGGGTGAAATTTAAAGTCCCTATGTGTGGAAAAAGGGATGATTTGATTTTATAAGTATAGTTGATAACTAGTTGTATAACTCCATTTTGATTTTTTTTTAACCCCATCTTGTAACTTGCATAATATAAAAGAATCAGTAGAAGACACTACCACCCACCACCATGAGTGCTAGCAGACCCTTCAGAGAGGAGGTTGCTGTATGAGAATGGAGGCGTGTGTGGAACAGAGGAGTCTGAAAGTGGGCTCAGCGAGTTGGCTTCTACTGGGAGCAGTTACGTGAATAGTCAAACCATCTTTGAAAGCCAAAACCTGTATAAGGCAGAACCCTGTCAGAGAAGGGAAGCCCGGAGATGTTCCCTAAAAGGAAAGTGAGACCAGTGATAGACTGCAAGCAGCCCTGTCAAGTTCTGCCTCTCACAGATTTACTGTGTTTGCCGGGCGTAGTGTGCTGTCTTGGGTACCAGGGGGTGATTGTGTGTGTGTGTGTGTGTGTGTGTAGTTCCTGGGCTTTAGGGATGTTTGGGGCAGGGGTGGGGAAATGTAGGAGGCAGATGAAGGCTCACCCCTCTAGTCTCCCTGTCTGTACCCCCATCCCCCTGACCCTGCTCACACCCCAACTTTGCTGTCTCCCACAGGAATGTAATAACCCCTGCTGCAATGCTTCCAACTGCACCCTGAGGGAAGGGGCGGAGTGTGCCCATGGCTCTTGCTGTCACCAGTGTAAGGTAAGGCGTTTCCCTCCTTGCCCTGGTTTCTGACCTCACAGCTGACTGCTCTGCTGGGGTAGAGGTGGGGATGAGGGGGCGCTGGGGGTCCATGTCTGTCCTCAGGGTAGGATGATACTACGTGTCAGAAACTGGAGCTAGGCAGCCCCTTTGGATAAAGTCCATTATTGCCTATACTGAGCCTCAGGAGTCCCTGGGTGGTACAAACAGTCACCCTACTCTGCTGCTAACCACAAGGCTGAAGGTTCAAGTCTATCAGAAGTACCTTGGAAGCTAGGCCTGGTGATCTATTTCTGAAAACCATCCATTAGAAGCATAGTTCTACTGTGGCATACCTGGGTCACCAGGAGTCACAATTGATTCGACAGCAGCTGGTTTGGCTGGTGGTGTCTACGGGGCCTCACTGGGTTTAAACCACCTACTGGAGATGGGAGAGTGTTTCAGAATATGTGTCCTGGGAGCGTAGGCTCGATTTAACTTGGAGCTAATAAATATCATTACCATAGTTTTGATTGATATCAATGAACCTCTAGTTACTGTGCTGAGTATTTTATATATATTTCTAATCACCACAGAAGCACCATGAAATATGTATTATTATCCTCACTTTAAAATGAGAAAACTCTGACTGAGTGGCAGTACTTGACTTATCCAGGATTGCCCAATCCAGAAGGGTCACAGAGCCCACTTTCTCAACCAGAAAACAAGCTAACAAACAAATGAAATAAAAACAAACAAACTAAAGGCAGGAAAACACAAACCCATAGAAACAAAAAGGTAACACATTGTCAATACCCCTGGGGTATAAGACCATTGCACTGACAGCATGATCAGTTTCTCCGGAGACACAGCCCTGGGGACACTGTCTGCACGAGGAGTCTGTGCAGGTGCAGATCCACCGGGGAGCGCAACTCACGAGTCGTTGTCTTGCACAGTTCAACCTCCACTCCTTTGAGCTCTGTTTGCCCTAAGCCTGGGGATTGGTGCCGGGGGGAAACTGCCTGCACCCATTTTTCTAAGTGCAGATCCCTGCCCCCCAGATCAAAGTCTGTCATGTCACTGGGAGGGGAGCATTAAGGTACTAACTATATGGTGATTCTGGGTTCCTTTCCAATGGACACCCACCAAGCCAGGGGTTCCCCCCAAGGTCCAATGACTGCCACTTCCACAGCCTTGGTGTGGCCACTCTCTGCTCTCTCTCCCATCTGAGTATCCCAGTCCTCAGCCCAAGGGTGCAGGCAACTTTGAGGCAGGATTCAGGTCCTTCAGCCATGCCTCTCTGCTAAGTCATTCTGATATAGCCCTTGCAGAACCCAGGTTTCTCTAAATGGAGAGCCCACACCCTTAAAATGGACCCGGAAGACATAGTATATTATGATTAAAATTACTAAAGGCTCCCAGTCTCAGAATCTTCAGAAATGCTGAAGAAGACAAAGTAATGGAGAGAAGCTGTCAAATTTTTTTAGAATGCGCCATTTAAGCTACAACTGTTGGTCTTTCCCTGTCTGGAAGAAAGAAGAGTGCAGAAATTGAATAGGCAATGCATTGATGAGCACATCAACATCACAGTAACTAGAGCCTGAAGCCAGAAGAACTAGCGGGGCACGGCTACCTTTACCAGCTGCTCTGCAAGGGATCGCATTCGAAGGTCCCAGATAGAGTAGGAGAATAATGTGAAAGAAAACTCAAAACCATAAAAAAAGACCAAGCCTTACTTATTGGACAGAGACTAGTGGAATACCCCAATACCGCCGCCCAGAGACTATGGCCATTAGTCACCCTCCAGGTCCGGAAATAAATTCACCCCATTTTCAGCAAAGCCATATAGACAGGTCTGTAAGAAAAGCAATAGTCAGTAGGTATACACACCTTGGAACACCCATCCGTTTGAGATCAAAAGGGCAACATTCTGAGTGGTTCTAAGAGAAGGGGCCATAGAAACAAGAAACACAAGTGGGGTAAGGCCTGTTACGTCGTGAGGATTGTAGTCAGTGATGTGAAACAGGTTGTCTAAATTGTTACGTGGAAAACTGATCTACTCTGTAAACCTCCACCCAATTCACAATAAAAATATTTTTTAAATAAAAAAAATACAACAATCAGATATCACACCCCAGCATTAATAGCAAAATTTAAAGAAAAGAAAACATAAAACCAGAATGGCCAGGGAGTAGAGAGACTGCAGCCCTGCTACCAAACTGATGGGATTAGACAAGGGTACAGCTACTGTGCGGGGACAGTCCGGTGGAAGGATTGACTGAGCTTTTTCTAAACAAAATCAGGCCTTCAATTGCTTCAAACTGTGGACCCAAAGATGATAGATTTGGGAAACAGTAAGATGTTAGTGAAATATACAAAGGAAAGAACCAGTCGGACAACTCCCACTTGTTTTCTGAGTAGAAACACCATCCCCAATTTTCAGTGACAATCCAGAACCTTCTATATATGGAGTTAGTCCTGCAGTGGCAAAATGTCCATCTCATCCTACTCGTCTGTATTGTCAGAATGCATTTTTATGATTTGTGTATTTTTAAATATATGTAGTAAAATATATCTGCAAATTTGTATGTAATCCTTCCAACCCCTAAATCCAAATAAGGGACAGATTCATAAAGAGGGATAACACAAGGCTATAAGAAAACTAAACCAAATCAAACAGCACCCCTCTTACCCCACCAGCCCCCAAGGTTTTCTACTTAGGCCTGAGTTGTCAGAACCGAACCCCATTATAAGTCCGGAACAACTTGTACTTATGTAATATGCTATGTGATAGGATAGACTGTGTGCACATAGATATGTATATAGTTGTATGCTCATGTCTGGGTATGGGGTCTGCTTTCTAAAATCTAAAACGACTGACACCCAGTTGGCTCCAAGGTCTTGGTGAAGGGGCTGCAGACCTGCGCTTCACCTCCCACTTACTGAGCACTCTTTATGTGCCAAGGACTCTCTGAGGGCGTTGGTCCAACTCGTTTTTTTCCTTGAGAAAACTAACCCGAGAGAGCCTTGCTCTGCTTAGCAGATGAGGACACTGAGGCACACAGAGGTTAAGGGCCCACCCCTGGTTCCGACTGGCTCCAGACTGGCTGCTCTTCCCTTCACCCTGCACCTGGGTGGCGGCTCTGCTTCCCGCCATTTCCTCTAACACACACCACTCGTTCCCACGTGGACGGTGGTCCCTCTTTCATCAGGCGGACCCTCGAATGTCCTCTCTTCTGGGAGGCCCTGCAGGGGGCCAGGGGAGGGGCTCTCTTCTCAGAGGGGCTCTTTCTTGCCTGGGTTAGGGAACTCCTTTGACTCAGGCTGGGTCCAGCGTTTGCCCAGGGAGGTTGGGTTGGTGTGGCCATCTTGTCTCCGACCAAGGCCTCAGAGTGAACCTGGAGACCCCCTGTCTTCCCCAGCCCCAGGGTCTCTAGTGCAGTCTCCAGAAGGGCTTTCTAGAGAGAAGAATGTAGAAACCCTCAGGGCCTGAGCGCTTTCGGTCCAACTTTAGTGGCGTGACTTTGGCAACTGTTCACCATTCACAACCTAAATGCTTCAGCTGTCACATGAGAAGGCTGTGAATAAGACGGAGGCCTAGTGGCACAAGGGTTAAGCACTTGGCTGCTTGCTTTCTTGGTTTGAAAGAAAGACCTGGTGGTCTGCTCCCGCAGAGGTCACGACTGGAAACCCCCCTGTCGTGAGGGGTCACTGTGCGTCAGAATCAATGCAATGGCAGGTGGCAACCACAGTTCGAAACCGGTGGGAGAAGCTCTGTGGGAGGAAGCCGAGGCTTCCTTCTGTAAAGAACAACGGGCTCAGACCCACAGGAGCAGCTCTACCCTGGCCCACAGGGTCACCCCGAGTCAGCATGGACTCGGTGGTGCATTTTATTGCCGATAAAGTGCTTTGTAAAATAAAAGAATATGCATGCTGATTAATGGGTACATCTGGATATATTTGTAGATGCTGTCCAAAGGTGAATGTGTATGTGGAAATTCGTGTGTGAATGGCTATGTGTGTTTGCATATTGGCATTTACATATGCTCACGTGTACGTATTAGTGAGCCTGATTCTGCCACTTTACTAACCATGAGCCTCACGTTGCCTCATCTGTAAAACAGGAATGCTTGTGTTCATAAGATGTTATGCAAAGTAAACTAAGTGACATTGTGCTGGTCACTTCATAAAACAGCCATTATTACCAAAACACTTAGAAAATTAACTGTGATTTCTTACCTCCTCTTATGATTGATGGGAAGAGGAAATGAGTTAGCATTTGTGCAAACACCGGGAACACTAGTCGTTACTATAAACATGAGAAAATCGAATGCTGGAGCTGATGGGTCTTGTGAAAAGTGCTATGAAATCATGTTAATGGGGACTGCCGATGCACAAGAATGCTGTCATGAGCCCTTTGCTGAGGATTGACCGTATTTCTGGGGATTGACTGTATTTCTCCCTCTCCTGCCCTCCCTCAGCTGGTGGCCCCTGGTACCTTGTGTCGAGAGCAGGCACGGCAGTGCGACCTCCCAGAGTTCTGCACGGGCAAATCTCCCCACTGCCCCACCAACTTCTACCAGATGGACGGTACACCCTGTGAGGACGGCCAGGCCTACTGCTACAATGGCATGTGCCTCACCTACCATGGGCAGTGCCAGCAGCTGTGGGGCCCTGGTAAGCAAGTCTCCCCTGGGATCTTCACCTCCTCCCATCCCAGGACTTCCCAATCTACCTCTTCTCTTCATGTGCTCAGGGTAGCTCAGAATGTGGTCCTCAACCTGGCACTCCCAAGATGCCACCCTTATCGTCCCTTTGACTCAGGCTAGGTGGTCAGTGAGGGCCAGTGGGCAGTGTTTTTTCCAATTCCCTGATGCTTTAAATTCTCGACGCGGATCAGTGGAGAAGGCTAGTCCAACCAGAAAATGGACAGGGAGTGGAGATACAAAAGGAAATCCCAATGTCCCAAAGACAATGAAAATATATTTAACCTTACTCATTTTAAGGGATGGGAACTGTCATCTATCAGATTGGCAAAGACTGAAACATCGGATGTTATGTTTACGTTTGATAATCTAGTGCTGAAGCAGTGTGCGAAAACACACAGGTGCAACCCCTATGGAATGCCACCTGGGGGGATCAGAATTTCAAGGCCATGTATCATTAGACCCATCAACCCCACTCTTTAGGATACTGTACTTTCATGTATACCTGTACATGAAGATATGTCCATCAGAACATTCATTGCAGCATTGCTGATATTAGCAGTTCCAACCTATACTTCCTTTGGTAGGGGACCGATGAAGTTAATTGTGGTACATCAATGCAGTGGAGCACTAGACAGCTGAGTAAAAGGAGGCCGCTTTACAGGTGCTGAATTAAATCACTCATCAAAGTGTTGAATGAAAACTGTGCGGCAGAGAGTGGTAGCATGGCTATGTTCTCAGTCTTTGTTAGGCAGGCTGTCTCTAGAAGATGCACAAGAAATGGTTATTGCTGGTGGCTTCTTTATGGTGTAGAGGAATAGAAACTGGATGCTTAGGAAGTCAAATTGAAGATAGCTGTTTTGTGCCTTTAAAAATGTGTGCATGTATTACTTATTTATCAAAGTCCTGAAGTGGAGTCACGACCTCTGTTCTTATGGTGGCTTTGGTATTAGAGCAATGTTAGCCTCAGAGGATGAATGCAGAAGGAAGTGCTGCCTCCTCTTCGCTGTTTTGGAAAAGCTTGAGAAGGATTGAAGTCAAGTGTTCTGTAAATCCTCGGTAGACTTTCTTGGGAAGCCAGCTAGCCTGGGACTTTCCTTTTGTTGAGGTGATTGATTCCTGAGTTAATCTCTTCATTCATTTCATTTATTCTTACTATTTCTTCTTCCGTCCATGGAGGAAGGAAGTTCACATGTTTCCAGCAACATGTCCATTTCTTTTACGTTACCTAGTTTGGTGGCATGGAATTGTTCATAATCTCGTATGGTCCTTTTCATACTTGTAGGTGATTTTGATGTCCAAATCATCTTCATTAGAGAATAGGCTTAGCCTACAACCTGCCCACAGACAGGAATCCTCAACAAAGCGGTGTACTGTGCTGATGTGAAGCTGGTTGCTCTAAGGAGGTTTGGGTGAGGAGGTGGGAGTGGGGTAATCTGTTAGGGTTTCACGAAGAAGTGGCTGAGTATTCTTCCCTGGCCCCCCTCCCCAAACCTTTTCAACTTCCATGATTTTACTAATAACATAAGGGTAAGTAAAAAAATATTGCTATATAACCATAGGAACTTTCATTAAGCAAAAACATCAAAATAGGAAGCTCTTCTTCCCGGACATACCCTTCATCTGGGCCTGTACACTTCTGAAGGCAGGGCTTCCAGCTTTCCAGCCCTTTCTCGAAGAACTGTCCACATCAAAACGGTTTAGGAATTCTTGAGGGACTAAAATTGTGTTTCTTTTCGATATTCGTTCAGGTTGTGGAACAAAAAAAAAGTCTCCAGGGTTAAGATCAGGGCTGCAGGGTGGGCTGGGTAAGGTTTCCCCAGAGTGTCAGAGGACAGCCGTGCTACCCTCCGAGAAGAGCAAATGCACTGGCACGATGGAAAGAAGCTTGTTGGCATGGTTTCCCTGCCCGTATTCTCACCGATGCAGCTTTCAGTTTTTATGAAACTTCTTCATAATACGTTCCCATGATTGTGTCCTGCCTCCCAAGAAAATGTATTCATATTACCCTTTGAAGTCCCCCGAATGGGCACCATAACCTTCTGTACTGAGTTCTCTACCTTGAATGTCACCTGGCCCAGCAGATCCTCTTGAAAGCCGCTGTTTTGATTGCACCTTTTGCTGAAGGCACTGTAGCGATACCAAAATAAGTGAGGACTCACCTCACTGTAGAGAAACCAAGATAGCGGAGAGGACGTGTCTGCAGCTGTTCATTGCTCGCAAGGATGTGTTTAAACGTGTTTTGCTTGGCATAATTCCATGCCATATGAACTGGGACCCTAGTCGCCATATTTTTTACTTCTCTCTTAGAACTTGCCCTAAAGTTGGCCGATCTACTTGATAAATGTTGTTTCCTTTCTCCCCAGGAGCCCGGCCTGCCCCTGACCTCTGCTTCGAGAAGGTGAATGTGGCAGGAGATACTTTTGGAAACTGTGGGAAGGACAGGAATGGTGAACACAAGAAGTGCAACCTGAGGTGAGGAGCGCAGGGCCGAGCCTGTGCCCTGAGGCTTCCCCAAAGGGTTTCTGATCTGATCTCCTCACTTCTGCCCATTGCAGGAGCTAGGTAGGCCCAGTGCTGGCCTGGAAGTACTGAAGTCACTTTTCCAGGCCTAGGGCTTGACAATGCACCATTCGGTCCTGGGGACATATGAGGGAAGATGTGGATGGCAGTGCTTCTTAGAAAACCGGCTAGCTTCCCTTGGAGACTTTTGTACAGTAGGGCATTGGCCCTCAATTTTTCAGGTTGCTAACTATGCCTTAATCTGACTAGCCCAAGTCATTTATTCATTTGTTGAATTAGCCATGCATCTAGCCACCCAATATCTGTTTGAGAGCTTGTTATGCGCCAGATCTCGCGCTGAGCAGAGATAAGGGAGATCAAGACGTCTCTGCTTTCTTGGAATGTTTTGTTATCCACGCCGCATGTTCGTGGTAAAAGAGAGCTGCGATGTTTCCTTGGGCTGCCTGAACAAGCTACTTCCACTCACAGGGTGGCTTAAAGCAACAGACATTTACTCTTCCCTTCACACTTATGGAAGCTGGAAGTCTAAATTTAGATAACAACAGGAATGGGCTCTCTCTGAAATTCTAGGAGGAGAAAAATCTTTCTTATCTCTTCTAGCTTTTGGTTGATCCCAGACATCCTTGACTCCTGGCAGTGCAACTGCAATCTCTGCTCTGTTTTCCTATGGTTATCGTCCTCTCTGTCTGTCTGCCTCTCTGCCACTTTTCTCCTCTGTTGATAAGGACACCAGTCCTGTTGGATCAGGGCCCACCCAACCCGTGTATGTCCTTTGTGTACTAATGATATCCACAAGGATTCTGTTTCCAAATAAGGTCACCTTCACAAATACCCGGGGTGAGGTATTTAAGATATCTCATAACAGCCACTTAACACAGGCGTTCTGAGTCAGGGCTCATTTCCCAAAGGCGGTTATGCATAAGAGGCGAGCTGGAGAAACAGTGCAGATTGACTAGTGTGGGAAGGGTGCGCATGCATGGGAGAACGTTGCAGGCAGAGATGTGCACACGGACCTGTACGAGAACAACTGGCAGAGGAGGAACTGACAGCAGTTTGATGCAGTTCAATCATAGTGCTGGGCTGCAGTGGAGAGGGGCCTGCTGAGAAATGAGCCTGGGAATTAAACAGGAACAAGATCATGAGAATCCTTAAATGCATGACTATAGGAACGTGGGCTTTGTCTTGAGAACAGTGTGGACATGAGAAGCTAGTGGGGCAAGAGGGCGTCCCTGTGTGTCATGAGCAAGTTTGTGCTCAACAACTAAGTTAAGACGGGTGGTTTGACCCTCTTGGCAGTGGCGATTTTCTTCCATTAAGATTACCAGCAAGAAAACCGAGGGAACAAGTCTACTCCTTGAATCAGAACTGGCTCGATGGCAGTGGTTTGTTATTGTTGGTGTTTAGGGGCAGGAGTGGAGGATCAGTTACCTGTGATGCAGGTAAGAAAGGAGCGTGTAGGGAATTAGAATTGATATCTATTAGGGAGAATTGCAGGCATTGAATGGCTTTGAAGCCAAAGATGAGGTGGAACAGGGAGTTGGGGATGCCACTTTTTGTCTGGAGTACCTGGCTGAGTGGCACCTGGCTCAGGTGGGGTGGTTTTCTGTGGTGAAGGGAGGACTCTTTCAGGCTCGGTTCTGGCCTAGGTCTGCTTGAGGACAGGAGCCCTGAACCCTCCCCTAGTGGGATCTCACTATCCTGACTTTTGCTGTTCGGGTCATGGGGCACTGAAGCGCTGCTGAGTCCACACTGATTCCATTGCCCTCCCTCCCTTGTCTTGACCCAGAGATGCCAAGTGTGGCAAGATTCAGTGCCAGAGTCCTGAGGCCCGGCCCTTGGAGTCCAATGCAGTGTCCATTGACACCACCATCATTATCAACGGGAGGCAGATTCAATGCCGGGGCACCCACGTCTACCGAAGTCCCGAGGAGGAGGGTGACATGCTGGACCCGGGCCTGGTGATGACTGGGACCAAGTGCGGCAACAACCACGTGAGTGCCACCTTCGGCAGCTTCACGCAGGGCTAGGCCCCCTAGTGGAGGGGCTGCAGAGTGTGGACTCTGAAGGGAGGGGCCAGGGTTCAAAGCCACCTCTCAGAGCCTTAGTGTGCACTTTCATAATAATAGGCACCCACTCCATGACCAGTTACTGTCAAATTGATGCCAACTCATGGCAGTGCCACTGTGCCAGAGCTGAACTGAGCTCTACAGTGTTCCAGTGGCCTTTCATCCCAGGCATCTCTGGTGGGGATTGGGGCGGAAATTCCAATGACCAACTTGGCGGTTATCAAGTGAATCTGTTAATTGGTTGTACTAGTCAGAGACTGCACTCCCTAGAGTTCTTATAAGTACTGAGCAAACAGAGGGACTAGCTTTTATCCATTTCTTCCTCATCATTACCTGTTTTATGAATTAAAAGATGGACTGGGAGTCAGGGAACTGTGGGGCAAATGATGACACCTGTCCAGGCATTGATGGGAGCCCTGGTGGCGGAGGGTGCTAAGCACATGGTCAGCAGCTCAAAACCACCAGCTGTTCCTTGGGAGCTCCTACAAAGAGTTACAGCCTCAGAGACACCCAGGGGACAATTCTGCCCTCTTTATAGGGCCATTGTGGGTCAGAATGGACTTGCTGGCAGCGAGTGGTTGCCCTTTCCTTATGTAGACAATGAGTTGCTAGCCGCATGGTTGGTGGCGTAAAACCACCAGCCATTCCTTGGGAGAGAGAGAAGGCTGCCTGCTCCTGTCAAGATTCCTCGTCTCGGAAACTCTAAGAAGCAGTTCTGTTCCACCCCATAGGAATGATACAGAGTTGGCTTCGCCTCAACAGCAGTGGGTTTGAGTTTTATCTCATGGGGTTAACAGTGAAGATAGTATCATACCCGGCATAGCGCTGGCTGTTGTCATCCACATCATTTTCCCTCTAATATTGACATCCAGTTCACTGTCATCAGCCAATTTTGACTTAGGAACCCAATAGGGCAGAGTATAACTGCCCTTTGGGTTTCCGAGGCGGTAAATCCTTATGGGAGCAGAGAGCCTCCATCTCTCCAGGGCTGGTAGGTTAGAACCGGTGGCCTCGTGGTTAACATTAGTATATATTCAGTTTATAATACTGTATAACATAATGACACATAGGAGCCCTGGTGGCTTAGTGGGTTACATTTTGGGCTGCTGACTGCAAGGTCAGTAGTTCAAGACTGCCAGCCACTCCAGGGGAGAAAGAGGAGGCTTTCTAATCCCACGGCGATTTCTAGTCTCAGAAACCCCCAGGCACAGCATGACTCTGCCACGGAGGGGGGCGGGGCGGTAGGGGTGGGTGGGGGTGGTGGCTCGGAGTTGGAATCAGCTCTGTGGCGGAGTGTGTTTTATTGTTTGTTATAGGACAGATACTGTTTTTAAAATGTAAGGGTTGTGGCCCTCCCCATTCCCCCATCTCCCTGATAGCTACCAAAGTAAAACCAGAATTTAGATAGCTGCTGCCCTGACCTTAGGTTTGTAGGTTGTTCTCAGTTTTTCTCGCTGGGAGCTTACCTTGACGTGGCTGCCTTTCCTGCGTCTCCTTCCTGTGGTCTGAGTGTCAGAGCCAGGGCTTCTGGTGCCCAACCAGGGTCCCTTCCTTGCGCTGATGGCTCGGTGTTTCTTGCTGCAGATTTGCTTTGAGGGGCAGTGCAGGAACACCTCCTTCTTTGAAACCGAAGGCTGCGGGAAGAAGTGCAATGGTCATGGGGTAGGTGCGGCCAGATGGCTCCTCTCGGCTGGTGTCCGTGGAGAAGGCCCAGGGAGTGGGTGGGGACTCTCAGAAGTGCGAGACTCTGCTGACCTCGACCTTGCCCTCTCCTTGCTCTAGGTCTGCAACAACAACCAGAACTGCCACTGTTTTCCTGGCTGGTCCCCGCCCTTCTGCGACACCCCAGGCGTCGGGGGGAGCATCGACAGTGGGCCCATGCCCCCCAAGGGTGAGTGCTGGCCTGCTGTGGAGTGCCTATGCTAAGGCTGGGTTCCTGTCCTGATGATGGAAACCAAGGAACAGAGAAGCAGAGTGAGCGGGAGGGAGGACTGGGGACTCCGAGGCAGCAGCCTGGAGTGCGTGTTCTGAGCTCAACCGCTCTCCCGCCCTTCCCTCTGGGGTGGGGGGGCGGGGGGAGCAGGGAGCCTGTGGGTAGAGGGAGAGACAGGAGAACCTGTGGGACATTGGGAAAGCCCGTCCCTTTGGGGGAGTGTCCTCTGAGTCTTCAAACTCATCATGAATCTGGGCACATTGTGGTGACTTGGGTTCCCTGGAGTGAGGATATAGGTTCAGAAGAAAAGGTTCAGAGCTTTTTAATGGAAATCTCAGAGGTTCCAGCCCATGATTTCATATATACATATGTATTAATAGTAGCAAAAAACATTTAATAAATATAAACTGTTTCTAGGAATAACCACCTCTCCTACACATCGACATATAAGGCAGGTCAAAGTAGTGTTTCATTGGGAGAAATCTCATTTTTATTCTTAAGTTTGCAGTTTGAGAGCAGTTAGGTGGTTGTGATGACGAAGGTAGAAATGTGGGTTGCCTGCCAGCAGTTCTAGCTGGAGAGCTGTGTTATGTGTATGTGCTGAAAATGAGTGGCAGCCGATACCAGAGTTTGCCTCGACAGGCATCCTCTTCAGTGAGGGGGACTGGAGAAGTGAGGTTCGTGGTTCTGTACAAAGCAAGCCACTTTGGCCATTGATGCCCGGACTACTGGTTTCCCACTGGTCCCTACTGTGTGTGTGTCTTGCTAATGTTTTGAAGTTAAAAATAAGCAATACAAATTCAATGCAAATCAAGTCTCCGCAGAGGAATCAGGGACGTCTTGTTTGAGCTCCATTGTTCTGGCTTGGAGAGTGTCTGAATCTCTCATCCAGGGGAGTTTCTGACCTCATTTTGGGTTTTTCCCGGTAGGTGTTGGCTCTGTGGTAGCGGGAGTGTTGGCAGCCAGCTTAGTGCTGGTGTTCCTGATCCTGATGTACTGCTGCTGCAAACAGAAAAACAAGCTGGGGCAACTCAAGCTGTCAGCCCTGCCATTCAAGTTGAGACAACACTTCAGGTAGGCAGAATATTGTGAAGGGCTCAGGGCCACTGGTGGGCCATAAAGCTCTCTGTGATGGACTCCAAGTTTGCTGCATGTGGGTCTCATGCAGGGAAGGCGAACGGAAGGTGTGCACTGCCTCTCCTTTCTGCCATGCTTCAGGTTTGGGGCAGGAGCCCTGCTGGTGGGGTCGGTGAAGCACTGGGTTGCCGACCTCAAGCGCAGCACTGCAGCAGGTTCTCTGCAGGAGAAAGATGAGGCTGTCTGCTCCCATAAATATTTACAGTCTAGAAAACCTAAGGAGGGCCGTTCTGACTCGTAGTGACCTTCTAGCACACGATAGAACTGCCCCTTTGCATTTCTGAGACCGGAGCTCTGTAGGGGTGTAGAAAGCCTCATCTTCTCCCTTACAGCAGCTCGTGGTTTTGAACTGCTGGTCTTGCGATTAGCAGCTCAGTGTGTAACCCACTACACCACGGGACCTGGTGACTTCAGAATGCCTCTCAGCCGAATACTTCCAGCTACTTCAAGATGGCATTCGATGAATCTCTTTGCCGTCCGTTACCTATTTGCTCCCAATTTTCAAGATCCTGGGAAACCAGGGCAGCCTGCCATGTTGTCCAATTTAGTTCACAATGGTGGGTGGACCTCACTGTGGAGAAAGTGTAACCTAAAAAAACCGCGCTCATTTCTTTGGCTATTAAGGCTGGGTACTCTCCAAATCTCCCGTGACCCTTGTTTTGGAGAGAAGCTTAAACCCTAGGCCTTTGGGGACTTACTCCTGAGTGGCCTGAGTGACGGCTGTCTCGGTGGTATTGATGGTTGGTATATCCTGAGAAGAGAAGGTCTTAACTGGTGGAGAGAAAGTGCTGCAACAGCTCTGCTGTGCTTGGGCCAGCTCTCCTCTCTGGGAGTCCTCAATTGGCCAGACTCAGGTCTCCATACCTAAGAAGCTGGGTGTCGAGGAGACCAATTCCCATCCCTTGTAGAATTGGGCAGTGACATTTGCTGGGGACAAATCCAGCTGCTTGTTGCTAGACTCGGATCAGAATGAACTCGGCTACCAACACTTTGTAAATATCCTCCACTTCCTCCCCACACCCCCAATTCTTATTTCTAGTTGCCCCTTCAGGGTGTCTCAGAGCAGCGGAAGTGGTCATGCCAACCCAACCTTCAAGTTGCAGACCCCCCAGAGTAAGCGAAAGGTAAGGTCCGTGCCCCGTGGCACTTGGTTCCCTGTCCCTTGGCCCCCAGGGTCTGCGGGGTTTTCCTCAAAGCCCTTGTTACGCTCTCGGATTGGTAACCACAGCCATTTTACAGGAGCGGAAACTGTCCCTTGGTTCTGATATCTCTTAGTGACTTTGAAGGTTGGTCTGACCTTGGAAATATTGTAGGAATTTAACAGGCCATCCTGCCCTCTGAGCACCCTGGTCACCTGAAGGGTGGGGGGGAAGCCCTGATTTTTTAAGTACATTGAGGAACTCTGTTTTGGTTGTTCCTTGTCTTATGCATACAGGTGACCTACACCCCTGAGACCCCGAGGCAAGCCCTCCAGCCTCCTCCGCGGCCTCCTCCAGACTACCTGCTGGGGGGGTCCCCCCCTGCATCCCTGCCGGCATACCTCAGCAAGACTGTTAGAAACAGCCCAGGAGCCAGGCCTCAAATCGAGAGGAAGGAGTCATCTCGGAGGCTTCCCCCGAGCCGGCCAGCACCTCCCGCACCCAATCACATCCTCTCCCAGGTACGGGCTCTCAGTGGTGTGACTGTGAAGGGCACTGGCAGAAGGGAATACGCTGGCTGGGAAAACGAAACTTGCCTTTCCTTCATTCTGGTGGATCTAAGGGCACACAGAGCCATGGCCATGGAGGTACATGTGTGCACACACACACACACACACACACACACACAGCACTCTCTTCCAAACCTTGGGGTATCTCTCCCTGCTTGGCCTGTTTTAGGACAAGCTGTTACCCACCTTCTACCTCTAAGGAGTTTGCAGTTCCCTGTGTTCTCCACTTTTCCCTCTTGGTCGTTGCTTACCCACCTTCTACCTCTAAGGAGTTTGCAGTTCCCTGTGTTCTCCACTTTTCCCTCTTGGTCGTTGCTAATGCGGCTGCTGCATGTGCCTGAGACACCCCTCCCCTCTGCAGGGCCTGCTCCTGTTCATCCTCATGTCCCTTCCTTCAAGGAGCCATCTGTGACCCCCAAGCCTGAGTTTGGCATCCCTACACTTTCACTATGAACCTTTGTGGCACAGTGGGTGGAGTGTTGGGCCCATCCCTGCCAAAGGCAATTGGCTCAAATCCATCAAACATTCAGCAGGACGGCTCTCTGCTCTGGTAAATCTCCCAGAAGTCCTAGCAGCAGTTCGATCCTGCATGATTTGGAATAAACTTGATGGCAGTGGGGGGGTTATGCTGCAGAGAAGACACCAGCGGCACTTGCTGGTCTCCACGAATTCAAAAGTCTTCCTGAGGGAGGCGCCCTTGCTGCTCTGTTCTTCTGAGGATGTGTGAGGGAGGCCCAGGCTGCACCCCCACCTCTCTGCTCACTGGTGGCAGAGCCACCCTGCCCAGCAGCCTGCTCACTCAACAAACATGTGCTCTGCCAGCGCCACCTGTACCCTCTGGTGGGCAGTCCCCCAAGGCAGACACAGGTGTTTCCAGGGGTGACTAGGTGGGGACCTTCCTGAGTCGAACCTGGGTGTTTGGGTTGGGCCCCTCAGAGTCCTTGTGGGGTTGCTCTTTTTGGACTTGGTTCCCAGGTCCTCCTGGTTTCTAGCTGGCTTGGATTCTAAGCACTGAGGGTGTGGTTCCCTGGGTCCGCGCATCTGGGGCTGGGTAGCTGGGGAAACTCAACGAGGAAAGAGAGCAGAATGACTGAGTGAGAAGCAAGGGAGGGAGAAAGGAAAAAGAGGAGGGAGGAGGAGGAAGAGAGAAGAGGAGATGGAGAGGGATGGGAGGAAGCAAGGGTGCAGGAGGGTCACAGGTGCAGCAGGAGGGAGAATGCCAGAGTGGGGGAGGGAAGTTGTCTGCTCAGATCCTGATTCCTAAAAAAACAACACATTGGAGGCTTATTCAAAGAATGGATGGCAGTGAGTTTGGTTTGCTTCTGGTTAGATCAGTGGTTCTCAACCTTCCTAATGCCACGAACCTTTCATACAGTTCCTCATGTTGTGGTGACCCCCCACCAACCATAAAATTATTTTCGTTGCTACTTCATCACTGTCATTTTGCTACTGTTATGAATCAGGCGACCCCTGTGAAAGGGTCGTTTGACCCCCAAAGGGGTCGAGACCCACAGGTTGAGAACCACTGGGTTAGATGGTTCAAAAGGTTAATACATTTCACTACTAACTAGTAGGTTGGAGGTTTTAGTCTATCCAGAGGCACATAGGAAGAAAGGCCTGGCAGTCTGCCTCCAGAAAACCAGCTGCTAAAAACTCTATGGAGCACACAACGCTGCTTGGACACCCTGGTGTTGCCATGAATTGGCGTTGACTCCATGGCACTGGGTTGGAGAGGCCATAAAAACTGGGTTGTCAAGAAGTGGCTCTGGTATCTGACTGCAATCCGAATGGTGGAGGGGATGGAGGGCAGCTCCCTGAGGAAGGGAGTCCTGGGGTGGGCAAGGGCGCTTCTGTGGAGAACGGTGCCTGTGTGGTCCCTGGTCAGATGAGACAGGGCTGTGCTAGGACACTGCTTTGGGGGGGGGGGGGGGGGGGGCCCTCACAGGCTGCTTAGGCACCAGGGCCCCGATGACACCCCTGTCCCGATTGCTCGTTTCGCTCGTCAGCAGCGGAGGGAGCACAGAATCTCCAGCTGCACTCCGACATCTGCGCCCAGCTGCTGCTCCCCCAGAACGCCTCTGTCCTGCCTCTGATCCCGCTGATTTGGAGGCTGTCCTGAACTGCCCTGCAGGGAGAGGATGGAGCTACACAACAGTGCTTTTGTCACAGGAGTTGCTGCTCTGCTCTGTGCCTTGGCGTCTGCATTCAGTTTCTGAAGGCCCAGAAGCTTCTTGTGGAAAATCCTGCTTCTCTGACTCTCCCCTTCCCTCTCTGCAGACTTGCTTGTTAGACCTTCTTATTATGCTCATTAGTGACCTGCTTGGAAAGGAGAACAAGATCAAGGGCAGCAGGCATTGGAGCTCCCACCTGAGGGATTGTCTTTGTGCCCAAACCCAACCAGTTTGTGGATTTATGGGGAGTACCGTCCATTCTGTCCTACCTCATTGTTGTTTTTTTTTTTTAGTCATCCACAAAAAGAAAAGCATTTGCATTCTATGAAATCTAGCTAGCTCAGAAACCCATCCGTCTGTCTGTCTGTAATGCTAATCTCAATACTAATTTGCATGATGGTGTAGTGGTTATGAGTTGGGGTGCTAACTGCAAGATCAGCAGTTTGAAGCCATCAGCCATTCCACGAGAGAAAGGGCTTCCTACTCCTGTAGGGAGTTAGAGTCGACCCACAGGGTCAGTTCTGCCCTGTCCTATAGGGTTGCTATGAGCCGGCATCGACCCGACAGCTGTGTTTGGATTGCTTGTATCTTGGAGGCTTTGCTGGGGAATCTTAAGATGTACAAGGAGACTGTGTTAGTCTGGGTACTTTAGAGAAACAAATCCACAGAAACTCATGTATAAGAGAGAGTTTTATATAAAGGTTAAGTGTGCATCAAGAAAACATCCCAACCCAGTGCTGTCCAAACCCACAAGTCCAACATTAACCCATTAACCCCTATGTCCAACACCAGTCCACAAAGTCCTCTTCCATCTCACAAAACAGACGCAATGATGCTGACTGCAGGAGGAAAGCCGAGTCAGTGAGTGTGTAAGCATCTCAGCACTGGCAGGGGTCTCCACATGGCTGCTCCAGCACCCAGGGCTGCATTGGGGTAGGTCCATGTGGCTTCTCCTCGGGGATGTCTTGTAGGAAGTGCGCTTTGCCAGCTAAAGCAGGGAACTGGCTAAGTCAGCTGCACCCTGGTCCGACCATCAGAAAGCAAGAGACCCAAGAACTAGAAAGGCGAGGCTGATTGAGCCATTTATCCCTCCGCCCTTCAATTAACCCCACATGTATTTATTGGCCAGGTTGGCACAATAAACTAAGTAACTCAGAGGCCTTCGGAAGAACATGGAAATTGAGATGGAAAGATAATGGAACTTTTGGAAGCTCTATCATATTAGTGACCCGTCCTTAAACAGTTAACTTCATAAATAACTCGGTTTTATAGAATATGGGAAGGAGGGTGTCATTGCAGGGGGTAAAGTGGAGCAGAATGAAAGGGGCTGGGATTGACCCACGTCATGCTGGCAGTGGCTGTCATTGTGAGGAAGGTAGTCCAGGAGGGCTGCGTGGAGAAGGTGACACAGTATGTGAAAGTGGGAAGGTGAGCTCCCTGTTAATTGTGCCTCTCATAGGAGGTCTCTGAGGAGCGGAAATCTGGGTCTTTGGGTTTTATTTGTTTTCTATCTTTGCACAGGTAACACACAAATGCGCTTTTGCTAAAAATTGAATGTTTACCTAGTTGAGCCCCTTCCCACTCATACCCTCTGCCTGTCCCCTCTCCAAAAGTCACTTCAGTTATCAATTTGGTCTTAGCCTTCCTGACATTCTTGTATTCAGTGTGTGTGCACGTGTGTGTTGTGACTTGTTTTACATGAACCGGCCTCCCTCACAGCCTGTGATCCAGCTTGCTCTGTGCACCTAACAACCCATCTTGAACCTTCCTCCAATGTCAATCTACCTTGTTCCTTTTTATATGCTGTCCCACAGTTCCCTGATGTCTCAGTAGGTGGAAAACGTGGATGTTTGTACTACATAGTGCTGTAAGGAACGTCTTCGTATTATTATTTCTGTGCACATGTGCAGAGTCCTCCAGCGTAGACAATAGGAAGTGAAATTATTCAAAGAGTTGTTTCTAATTTGAATAAATCCTGCCAAGTTGCTCTCCCCTCTTCGGAGTATTTAGACACATTTTTTTTTTAGACACATTTTACACACACACACACACACACACATGTTTTAATGGGAACTGATGGGCATCACTGGGTGGATTATGTGCTTGGATGCTAACCCAAAATATGGAGTTAATTAAGTCCACCTAGGGGAGCCTCAGAAGAAAGGCCTGGTGATCTTCCTCCACAAAAGCAGCCATTACAAAGCCTGCAGGAGAACGTGATGTATTGTTTACAACCACAAAATAGGGCAGCTGCTGTGGATTGCTTCTGTATAGCCAAACACCTCCGTTTGGGCTCTTTGGTTGGGAGGATTTGGGTCACATTCTTGAGACATCCCAGTTAACTGACCTAGTCAGTTCAGTGCTTCTGCTCTCCCTCCGGAGTTTCCTGTGGAAGATGATGCCGAGGTGCCTGAGCTCCCATGTGTGGTCACTGTGCGGTGCCTGAGCTCTTAAGAGTGTATAAGGTACTATCCAAGGCGCTAAGACCCCCGGTGGCTGAGTAGTTACTTGATGGGCTGCGAACCACAAGCCAGAAGTTCCAAACGACCAGCCGCTCTGTGGGAGAAAGAAGAGGTCCTCAGAAGCCCACAGGGGTAGTTTTCCCTGTCCTGTAGGGCCACTGTGAGTCAGCACAGACCTGATGGCAATGAACTGATCCACAGCACCAGAACTGGTCTCCGCTTCCCTGCAGCCACAGAGGAAGGAGGGTCGGGGCCTGGCGCTGGGACTGATAGCTTCCGGGAACAACTGCTCCCTTCGCCATGAGACCAGAGGAATTCCCTGGTGCCCAGCTATCATTGCGGAACATTCTGACCAGGGGTTCTGTAGAAGATCCTGATTAGAAGGGGAGAGGGTGCAGAAAAGAAGCCACGGGGCCTGGATGAACTCCTGAGATGTAAACTTGCAAACTTCAATCAAAAAAATATCTCCCAGAGTCTCTTAGAACCAAACCATAGTTTGGCTTAAGCAGTTTACAGATGTCCTTGTTGGGCATTATGCCCTTTTAAGAATGACCTTTGGGGATCGACGTGACAGCCCATCCACTGCAGTCGATTCCAACTCCTAGCCACTCGAAAGATGGGGTCACAATCCCAGGGGGAGTCATCGACCGAGAGTGAGAATGGTTACGTAACTCGCAAGGAGGTCACTGATGCCACTGAATTATACATGTGGAAACGGGTGAGCTGGGGTCTGTTTTTCTGCGTACATGCTCAGCAACGGCACAAGAAACTTAAAAAAAACAACAATCCTCCTCTGATACACATGGGGTCACCAAGTTTCCCCAGGGACAATTGGTAACAGTATATCATTGGATTTGGCCCTGGTAGACTGAGAACGTTTTGTTTGACATGCCCCTCTGGTCTCTGAGTAAGGCTTGCTGCTTTCTTTTCAGGCTCTCGCTCGACCCCAGCCGCCCCAGAAGGCCCTGCCAGCTAACCCGGTGCCAGGCCGCAAGGCCTTCCCAAAGCAAGGCGGTACCTCCATTCTGCTACCCTCCACGGCTGACCGTCAGCTGCTCAGGCCGCTGGCAGCACCGCCCCCAAAGGTGAGTCACAGGCTAAAGCTCGCTGCTTCCCAGGGACTCGGTGCGGGAAGTATGGGTTTCAGGACACAAAAGATGAGCAATGAAGCGTGGCGTTACCCATTGGCTTGCCCTTAAATGAGTCCAAGCGTTTCTGGTTTCATGAGGAGTCTAAGCTCTAGAGACAGACATCTGGGGCTTCCAACCCCAGCCCGCACGTGACCAGCGGAGGGACCCCAAGCTAATCACTCTAGAGCAGGGGTCCTCAAACTTTTTAAACAGGGGGCCAGTTCACTGTCCCTCAGACCCGTTGGAGGGCCGGACTATAGTTTTTTTAAAAAAACTATGAACAAATTCCTATGCACACTGGACATACCTTATTCTGAAGTGAAAAAGCAAATGGGGCAAAAACACCGGGTGGGTTGGATACATGTTCTCCTTGGGCCACATGTGGCCCACGGGCCGTAGTTTGAGGACCCTGCCCCAAAGTCTCCTCAACTGTACAAACGCCATAAGGGACAGCAGTAACCAGCCTCCTGAGGTTGCTTTGAAGGCAGAGCAAATGGCCACTCTTCGTACTTCTCTGTGACTGGCTTCTTGTCAGGCTGCCAGTCCTGCGAGGAGGGTAGAAAGGGGATGCGGTGAGGAAACTGGTTGACCGACCTGTCTTACCATCAGGCCCCAGGAAATAACTGTGGCAGGAGGGAGGCAGGAGTCTTCTGCTCCTGATAGGGCACCACTGCCTCTCACTGAAGACCTGCCACAGGGACCGTCCGTCTCTCTTCGGGACGAGTGTGTCCATCTATCCTCCCAACCCCCTGAAAGCATGGGCTCAGCTCTTCACGGAGCCCAAGTGCATTGACTGATGTTTCTCTCCCCCACCCCCTTCTTTCTGCAGTTTCCTGAATACAGGTCACAGATGGTCGGGGGAATGACTCGCTCCAAAGTCTAGACCTGGGCAGGGGCTTTCCCCCTTCTCTTGAGCAGTCCCCAGGGCCCATGGCATCTGGAAGAAGCCTGTCCAGCGTCCCTGCTCTCCTCCTCCCTCCTCCTGGAACCACCCCTCTCTGAAAATCTCCTGGATTCAGCACCTCCCAAAGCCCCGCGGGACCACTGCCGACAGAATCGAAGGGTGGTTTTGTGCAATATACCGTTCCGGGTAGAAAGGGGGACGCACAGGGCAACGAATGGTAGTCTCCCTTCAGCTGTCCCCTCGACCCAGAGGTGATGTGTCCAGGATGTTCCTTGGAGAAACCTGTTCCCATGGGGAGGGCTTCCATGAGAGCTTTCTGTCGCTTCTGGCTTCCTGAAGGTCTCAGGCTGGACACATGTCCACTCCAAGAATGGAGGAAGGGGTCAGAGCAGCCACTGCCAGGGCCCTACTCAGGTCTTGCTGGATGATCTGAGGCAACTGCTTCTGGCTGCACGTGGACAGTCCACTCCCCAAATCCCTACCCCCACCCCCCCTTCCGCCTTCCCTATATCCACACGGGTCACTCTGACTCAGACAGGTACTGTTTGTAAGGCGATGCAGACAGCAGGGGGAGCACCAGGCTTGGGCCTCCTCTGAGCCATAATGCCAAAGGTCGCGACTGTAATTCTCGTTGGCTCTGTGATTTACTTCCATATCAAGTGCTCCGTGCTTTTGATTTCTTCCTTGTTCGCTAGACCGCTCTGATGTGCGCTGCTTTAGGGAAGGGACCCTCAGCCATCCTAACTTACCGGTGGCCTGGTGCTGGTGACCTCAAAGGGTCCTGCCTCAAGGCTTGGCCACCTGGATGTCCTGCGTTGGATCCTGAGATGATTTGACCTGCCTAGACTGAAGCATGGAGTTAGAGCTTTCTTCTTCCTTGTGTCTTGTGACCTCAGTGGGTATGGGTCTTTCTCCCTACTCTTGAGCCTAACTCTAGGCAGAGCCCACCAAGAAAGACAGCGGTGTAGTAAAGAGAGCAGATGTCCTAGGAACCCCACCTATGAGAAGTCTCCCTGGTGGTCTGTTCACTGCCTGGAGGAGGGACTGGTGCCTGGGAGGAGAGAGCAGAAGGCAAGGGGTTGGGGGCGTTGGGGAGTCCTGAGGAGAAAAAACAGGAGTCAACATGGCCTCTGTCTTTTCTAACAGAGCCTGACAAGGACTACCTCCTGCCCCCGCCCTTTCTCCCTTTCCCTCTTCCTTCTTCCCACTGTGAAATGAGCCTCACAGACAGGTCAGTGGAGCCGGGAAGGAAGGTGGGTGTGTTGTAGGGGTTCTGCTGGGTAGAACAATTTCCACAAAGTAGCTGGGGGTGACATTCCTTCACTGAGCAACTCTTCCCTTCTCCAACGGGGCTGAGGGCAGCTGCCTGAGAGCGTTCAGGAAACTCTTCACTTGCACGGAGTTAGGCAACTCCTTGCTCTGGGGAACGTCAGCGCAGGGGAGAAATTGAGCCTTCAGCTCCCTGGGCCCCACCCCTGGGCCTCTTTACCATTCTCTGTGTACAAGCGGTGCTTCTTCGGGTTCTTGTGTTCACAGACAAGTGGGCCTATGAGACATGCCCCTGGGGACACACATGAGGTACATGAGATAGATACCAGGCAGAGAGTTTCTCTGGAGACTTCCATGTGCTCCTCTCTCCCTGCCAAGGGCTGCGCCCTTCTCTCTGGACCCTACTTGCCCCATCTTTGCTGCCAGATGAAGTCGAGGCACAGCCTCCCATGTAAACAGCCTCCCCAGATGCCTCCAGGCTGGGGCCAAAGGCCTGTGGGTCCTTCTCCCCCTGCTCAGGGATGGCCACTCTGCCGTGAACGGGGAACCACCGCCGTGTGACTGCCAAGCTTTTGAAACCCAAAATCCTCTCTCCCGGAGCCACACAAAAGAGAGACCAGAGTTGGCTTTTTGTTGTCTTCACACACCTTCATTCCATAAAATTGTAATGTGAACTGGAAGATGGTAGGGTTTTTAAAAAATCTTTTTCAGTTTGATTGAGATGGGAATTTTGACATGCAGTTCTACTTGCATGTCGTGTCCCTCCTGGCTTCACCCAGGAAGCTGAGAACGGACAGTGTGGCGATTTTTACATGAGTTTCCTGAGAGGGAGACCAGCTGTTCAATCACACTCCTCCTTTCCCTCTTGTGCCCACCGGGCTTTACTTGACGTGTCAAATAAAACCATTCCGACTTGGTGAAAAGGAGGCTTTATCAGAAAATGTTATGACATGCAGGAGAAAGGGAATATTATAATAGGGGTCGTCAGGGAGGCAGTTGCCATAGGGAGGCCCCTCACATCACAAGATCTGCAAACCTCTCAACGCTCAGGCAGAAAATGGATTTTCGTTCATAGGCAGGTAGCAAGCCTAGAGACAGCTAGAGACAGGGAATTTCTTGTGCTCAGAATTTGGTGAGGGGTGGGATGGTGGTGAGGCGGGTGCTATTGAAGATCGTGTGGAACAATTTCACACAGACACACAGGGGGTCACTATGAGTCAGAATTGACCCAAATGCTATTGACTTTTTAAGGGGTCCCTGGGGCTCTGGAGGTGTTGTGGTTACATGCCTGGCTACTAACTGTAAGGTCGGCAGCTCAAAACCACCAGCCACTCCTCCGGAGAAAGATGGGGCTTTCTACTCCCATAAGCAGTCTCAGAATCTCCCAGAGGCAGCTCTACTCTGTCCCAAAAGGTCGCTGAGAGTCGGCATCCACCCAATGACTATGAGTTGGGTTTTGGTGACTTAGTGTGATATGCGTTGGGCTGCTAACTGCAAGGTCAGCACGTTGAACCCAAGATGAGGCTGTCTGATCCAGTAAAGGGTTACAGCCTCGGGAACCCCAAAGGGCAGCTTTACTCTGTCCCGTGGCCTGGATAGCAGTGAGTGGGTGAGTGAGAGGCAGTGGGTGTTGGGGTTGAGGTTGGGTTTGGGTTGCTGTCCGAAGTCCTCTGCTCTGCAGGGAGGAGGGGAGCTTAACTACAGTTCAGTCTGTTAGCAAGCAGTTTGTGCTGATAGAGATGTTGTAAATCTCTTTAAAAGCTGAAAAAAAAGAGTTTTGTGGGCCAGGGATGTATTCCTTAGGGGTCTTGGAGCCATGTTTCTGAAATGTTGAACTCGAGGAGGATCACCTCTCTCCTGCCCCATCTCTAAGAGTTTCAGCAGAGGCACCTGGCTCCAAGGTACACTGAACTGCTTGCCATGGAGTCTGTCTTACTGTGAACGAGCAACGAACCCTGGTGGTCCAGTACTCTTCCCTCTGCTGCTAACCTGAAAGGTTGCCAGGCTTAAGCCCACCTCGGGGCTCCTCAAGAGGAAGACCTGGTTATCTTTCCGAAAGCTTTAAACCTAGGAAACCCCGGGGGACAGGTCTACCTGGTCACACTGGGCCTGGGAGCAAAAATCAGCTCAGCAGCCCCCAGCGCCACCACAGCAAAGCAAGCGCATCAAAGCACCTCTGCCCAAGTGATGAGCGAGGCCTGGGGGAGCATCCTCCCGACTTCAGTCGTCCCCTCCCCTGTTTCCAGAGCTCCTTGTCCTTTCAGGAGTCCTTTGTGCACGGAAGTCTCCTCCCTTAGGTCTGCATTTTTTTATATTTCAACAGAGAGGGTACATGACTTGTGTTTTTAAATTTTGAGGAGTTCAGTTCTAAAGGCAGTGATTGTGCACATGTGTCTGTGACAGCCCTGCTTGGCACCAGGAAACCGGGGAGGGGGTGTGACAACTGGAAAGGTGCCCCCACCCCTAGGGAAGCCAGGGAGGGAGAGGTCTTGCCGAGCTCAAGCCTATGCCACCCAAGTAACTCCTGTGCCCCCACCCCACGCTGTGCGTACGTCTGTCTGGGATCCAGGGCATTGTGCATTTGTTTTGATCTGGGAGATTCTTCACGGAAAACAGAGCTTCTTCTCTCTTGTCTTATTAATTGTTTACAATGATCTTTTTACATCTATGCAAAATACTTGAATGGGCCATTGTGCCTTCCCCCCGCCTCCCTCAGTTTGTATTTAATTAAAATAAATTGTCATTTGAGATGTTACCTAGTGTGGCTCGCTCTCTCTTTAATGACCCACCATTGAGACTGTTGGACCCTTGAGATGTAGCCTCCTCCTCAGAAGGAAATAATTCCCACTGAGTCCATCTGTCCAGCATCTAAGGACGGATCTTTGGAAGGTGTGCCTGGGTGAGGCACATAGTTCATGTACTCAACTGCTAAGTGAAACGTTGGAGGTTCAAGTCCACCCAGACAAGTTTCAGAAGAAAGACATGGTGTGCAGCCATTGCAAGTCCTACAGCACACAGGTCTACTCTCCCATGGAGGATTGCTCTGAGTCCTCATCAATTTGACCCCACTGGGATGGGGGTTGTTATCAGTGCTGCTGAGATGGGTCTGACTCATAGTGACCCTGTGTACAACAGAATGAAACACCACCTGCTCCTAGGCCATCCTCACAATTGTTCTCAATGTGTGGGTCCTTGCAGCTATCATGCCATCTTCCGGAGGGCCCTCTACCAACTGCCCCTCTACCAATCATGATGCCATTCTCCATGTCTCTCCTGACAGCAGGTCCAAAGTACATAAGAAAAAGTCTTCCCATCCTTGCCTCTAAGGAGCATTCTGGCTGTACTTCTTCCAAGACATATAGTTTTGTCCTTTTAGCAATGGTATTTTCAATATGATTCTCCAGCACTGTAATTCAAATGCACTGATATTTCTTCAACCTTCCTTATTCAATGTCCAACTTTCATATGCATGTGAGGCAATTGAAAATACCATGGCTTGACTCAGGCACACCTTAGTGCTGAAAGTAAACTCCTCACTTTTCAACACTTGAAAGATGTCTTCTGCAGAAAATTTACCCAATGTAACACATCATTTGATCTCAACTGTTGCTTCTGTAAGCATTGATTGTGGATCCTAGCAAGATGAAATTCTTCACAATTTCAATGTCTTCTCCATTTATCTTGATGTCTGTGTTAGTCTTGGTTGACTAGAGAAAAAGATCCATAGACACTCGTGTGTATAAGAAAGAAGCAACAAAGCCTACGTGGAAGAAGCACACCAGTCTGTGTGATGATGAGGTGTTGAAGGGATCAGGTATCAGAGGCATCATCAGAACAAAAAATCATATCATAGTGAATGAGGTGGGGAGTGCGGAGTGGAGACCCAAAGCCCATTTGTGGGCCACTGGACAGAAGGGTCTCGGGGAGGAGATGAGCCAGTTAGGGTGCGATGTAGCAACGATGAAACATACAACTTTCCTCTAGTTCCTAAATGCTTCCCCCCCACCCCACTATCATGATCCCAATTCTCCCTTGCAAGTCTGGCTAGACCAGAGGATGTACACTGGTACAGATAGGAACTGGAAACACAGGGAATCCAGGGCATATGATCCCTTTAGGACCAGTGGTGAGAGTGGCAGTACCGGGAGGGTGGAGGGAAGGTGGGTTGGAAAGGGGAACCAGTTACAAGGATCTATATGTGACCTCCTCTCTGGGGGACGGACAACAGAAAAGTGGGTGAAGGGAGACGTCAGACAGGGCAAGATAAGACAAAATAATAACATAAATTATCAAGGGTTCATGAGGGAGGGGGGAGCGGGGAGGGAGGGGGAAAATGAGCTGATGCCAGGGGTAAGTGCAGAGTAAATGTTTTGAGAATGATGAGGGCAATGAATGTACAAATGTGCTTTACACAATTGATGTATGCATGGATTGTGGTAAGAGTTTTATGAGCCCCCAATAAAATGATTTTAAAAATAGAGCTTTATGTACAAGAGCAGTTGAATATTAAGAAAACATCACATCCCTAGCCAGATCAAGTCCATAAATCTGATATTAGCCTATATGTCCGATACCAATCTATAAATTCCTCTTCAGACTCACGCAACACATGCAATGATGCCACAACAGGAAGATCACAGGCCAGTGGATGGAAAGTCTTGTGGATTCAGTGGTGGTGGAAGTATCTCAGAGCTGTCATGGGTCTCCACATAGCTCCTCCAGTTCCAGGACTCTAGCGTTGCTCCATGTGTCTTGTCATCAGGAAGACAAAGCAGAGAGTCTGTGTGTTCCACCTCCAGTGAGCTGTTTATCTCCATAGCACCACCAGATGAGGTCATCAAGCTGAGATCTGATTGACAGGCTAAACTCCACCCCTTCACTCTTAGGAGTTTCAAGTTGGCACTAGATTATGTAACTACCACAGTGTCTATTGGTCCATGCAAAGTCTTCTTTGCACTGAGTTGGCATTCCCATGGATGGCTGCGATCCTCGGTATTCACCAGTGAGTGCTTCAAGTCCTCACTTTCAAGAAGCAAGTTTCTTTATCTGCGCATCTCAGGTTGTTAATAAGTCTTCCTCCAATCCTGTTGCCATGTTTTCATATAGTCTATCTGCTCTGACTATTTGCTCAGCACATAGATTGAATAAGTATGGCGAGAGGATACAACCCCGCCACACATTTTTTGGTAAGCCATAAGAAAAAACAAAACAAAGCCCATCATTCCAGTGACACTGAGACTGGAGTGGATGCGTCCCTTAGGCTCTCCAAGCCTGTGAACTTCATCAGAGCAGGTGGCCGTATCTCTCTCTTACGGAGGGGCTGGTGCGTTCGAATCACCAATCTTTCAGCAGCTCAGTGGCTAAGCACTAGGCACGGGATTCTCTGAAGCCCTAGCAAAGCCCCATGACTTTTCCAGCACCAGTAGAGGGGGCTGTTTCTCTTTGTACCTGAACACAGGTGGGTCCTCATTTAATTGGACCTTAGCTCTTCAAAGGCACAGTGATCATGACAACTACCAATGAGTTTTCTAACCCTACACGATTGGGTTGACCAGCAATCTGATACCCTCTGTTCACTTTCTCCTCTTTATGGTGGGGACCATGGACCTGTGCTATAAAAAAGAGATTTACTGTTTGGGGGGCTGGGCGCAGGCCAGAGATCACTGAAGTTGCTGACAAAAGAGTCCCTGGGTAATAACACAGCTTTCACTTATTTCGTGCATGCCCGTTAAAAAGCATTCCACCTTGTTATCCTTGTTTGATGCTGTTTTAGGGCACAAAAGAGACCCCCAAACTCAAATATAATTCCAGAAGGACATTTATTAAGTCTTAAGCAAAACAAGATCAAGACACATCATCCAGCTGAGGGGGACCATTAGCATGAGGTCATAATGGCATCCAAACAAATTACAGCCACACTGCTGCTTTAACATGTTGCCGAACACAAAGAAACTGTCACAAATTCATGATTGGCACATAACAGTGACAGGTGGGCCTAGCAGAAATGGGAACGTAACCATGACCAGGGCAGGTGCATTGTGTTAGACACAAGAGCTTACACGACTGGTCCTGGGCCTTCTGACCAAGGCACACAGGGCACAATCAACAGGGCATGAGTCATGATTATGTAGGCCCCTGTCAGGGAATGGACACACCCAGACAAGCCCCTAAAGGAGACTGGCCCTTTCCGGGGATTCAGTGGAGGCTTAATACACAGGAGCACTCCACAAATGGACTACGTTTTCAGTGTCATCCATAGATACCTGCAAATGGGGTGCTTAGAATCTTATTGCAAATACAATGTCCAGCTCAATTCTGAGGTTTGTTTGTTTTTTTAAATGGAATAATATCTAGTATACTAAATACCACAGTACAATATTGTTGCACTGGTTTGCGTGTTTCTGGATGCTATCTCACCGGTATTTCAAATACCTGCCAGATGACCCAAAGCGAACAGGTTGCACCAGAACACCCAGATTAAGAACAGGCTCTGAGAAAGAAATAAGCTGTCTATTTCTGAGCAGTTAGCCAATGAAAACCTTAGAGATAC